GAATAATTCATACTTTTCACAACGGAGATTATACTTGATTTGACATCAACTTCTTTCAGACATGCACAGGTATTACCTCCTGCACTATGTATTTTGAGAAAAAGAGACTGCTGCTCACTAATGTTGGCTTCCTAAAGACGGGTTGCAGCAGTTGGTCTCGGGAATGATTCGTTTTCTTTCCTCCAATTCCGGCTACAGCACATATCCGCTACACTGTTGTTTGTATCGTATTGTGTCCCATAGGCGATTCCAGATAACATTTTCCGTCCTTAGGTTTCTTCAAAGCAGTGAAATAAAAAGCGTTTGCCCGAGTTGAAGAGGGTGGACTGAAACAGTTGTAAATTGTGTTCACATGAAATATTTATATCTAGGATAAATTGACTTTTGATTCGAGATTATCTGATAGTCAAGTTTATAAAATAACGTTTCAATTAAATTTATTATGTGTGACATGTTTACAATGGAGGTTTTATATAGACAAATGAATATTTCATAAAAACTTCAAGTGCCGAACCTCCAAAAAGGGGAAAGAGTTCCTTCCGTTCCCCAAACCCTAAACCTAACTCTAAACCTAACCCTAAACCTAACCCTAACCTACATTTTGGACTTTTAGTCATTTTTGTGAGTTTTCTAGTAAATTTTTTGTTAATAATTTTAGCATACATTAATTTATAAATATTATTTGGGACGTGGGAACGGGAGGAACTCTTACCTAGAAAACTTACCAAAGTGACTTGTACTTTTCAAATAGGCGAAGGTAGCATCTTTCTACATTCTCCTTATTTCATAGGTTCGCACCTTTTTCTTTTGCGCATTACGATCTTTGACCCCTCCGAGATTGGTTTTAGATACATCTTCCATGTACTGCAAATATCTGCGTCCGTTCTGGTCAACATGTGGACCTGTAATCTGTCGGGTCTGAGCTGTGTTAGCTAACCACGTGGTATATAACTGTGACGTGATCACGAAAATCTCGTGCAGTACACGGTTCGTGTGGCAGCGCAACCTTCAATATATTGTATTTTTGGTAAATTTCGATTTATTTTTCTTGTTTATGTTATATTTCAATCATTCTGACGATTTACAACACCTGTTTACATTAGAATGTGAGTAATACAACCATATTAGCTGACTGTACGTTCCAACAACCTTTCTGCCATATTTCGAAAATATAAGTATGAATCCTAAATATCCCCTTCATCACACTGAAACACATAGACAACTATGTTAAAGAAGAAGAAAACGTAACTGGAAACAAAATTTAAATGTAAACGAATGTATTTAAGATAACCTTATTCACGTTCAAGGCGATTTCAAATGGGTGTATTGTACATGGACCAGCAGCCTCAGTACAAATACCAGCCTGACAAAATCATAACCATAACTGTTACTGTATGAGATGCAAACTAATAGTGATGATACCTGCTGTTGGGGTGTCCTGAAATGGCAACTGAATTGTCCCCCTGAAGGTGGGATGCACGCCAAAACAGGGGATTGCAAAATGTCAGCTTTCAACATGAACCATTTTGAAAGCCATAAATAATGTTTTACATGTTTTGACTAGATGAATTTAGTTATGAGTATCTATATTTTAGATGAACGTCTATTTGAGCGTGGCTTCAGAAGTGTTTTGGTTTAACATCTAAAACCTTTCTATGAAAGAAGAAAAAAGGCGTAATTGAAAAAAAAAACTCTCAATGTAAACGAATGTGTTTAAGATAACCATATTCACGTACAACGGGATTTCAAATTGGTGTATTGTACATGGACCAGCAGCCGCAGTACAACTACCATCTTAACCATAACTGATATTGTATGAGATGCAAACAAATAGTTATGGTACCAGCTGTTGGGGTGTCCTTTAAAGGCAAGTGTTCCCCTGAACTAGGGATGCACGTCAAAACAGGGGATTGCAAAATTTTCTTCTTTCAACATGAACCATTTTGAAAGCCATTAATGATGTTTTACATGTTTTGACTAGATGAATTTAGTTATGAGTATCTATATCTGAGATGAACGTGTATTTGTGCGTGGCTTTGGAAGTGTTTTGGTTTAACATCTGAAACATGTCTAATCAAAGTTAAAGATGATGTTGAGTTCAGTGATTCATTTTAGTATGCAAACCCGTTTACTGATTATAGTCTTCATAACAATTTTAGTGATCAGTGTTAGACATCCAAAATATATTCCGTCTTCAGATACATTCTGGTTAAGCAACATGACAATCTGTATTCGTTTCCAATATCTATATTACTGATAAATGTTGGAAAGATATCCTAAACCTCCCATTAAACCCCTCTTCTATATTATTACAAAACGAATGGTAAATAATTGTTTTGACCAAAGAATACAACTTAGAAACAATGCAAAAGTTTATCAACAGCGTCTTGGTACAACTGTCTTGAGTAATCATGAAGTATATAATATATCTATCCAAATACTCATCTATTATCTTTGTATCTAAAACTACAATGATTCATTAAAAACGGGGTACCAAAAGGAACTACAGACATCAATTGCGAAAACCTCGGATCGGACTGCACCAAGCCCGTCTAACGATATTATTGACTAATTACGACATTATCGAGAACCGTTCTCACATTTATTAATGCAACATACACACACGACATTAATGAAGAAGTTCCGAGAGAAACAGGATGAAGCGGATTTTAGACGTTCAAATACTATCACGATACACATCTCCATGTTTCACAGAAGATTCATCAACTCTGTTTTATCTTCATGCATTGACACAAATTGAAGTAGATCTATTTCAACTCTCTCAACGTTGTCTCTTTAGCACAAGTGTTTGGTTCCACTCTGAAAACCAACTTCAATATCTCGGATATATCTTTGATTTCGATAGAATAGTATTTCTACCAAGATGCTGCTTTTTAATGTCAACGTGCAATGCATCTAAATATGCCTGGTGCATCTCGATTGTCGCTTGTTTTCTGCATTCCCAACACGACCTCTATCAAAAATGCTTGATCTGTGTTTTGTGAGGCTTGGCTCAAGCGGCTAAAAGCAACCAACAAATGATATATGGTTACATGTAAAGAACAGTATTATATCTTTCTGAACACGGCTTTATGGTATATAAAACGTGATTGAAAGACCCATGTCACACACCTTTTATTGAATGATACACTCATAAAGTCATTAAATAAATGTTTCTCAGTGGTCATGAATAATCCCGTATGTGCTGTCTATGGTGGGTGAGTGAGTTTAGTTGTACCCCGCTTTACTAATATCCCAGCAATATCACGGCGGAATGGCCCTCACACATTGTACCAATGTGAGGCCTCGAACCCGGGTCTTAGGCGTGACGAGCGAACGCTTTACCCATGAGACTACAACACACACACACCCCCACCCCCACCCCAATCCAGCCCCTGTTGTCTATAGCATTAGGACACGGATAATCGACAGTTTATAAGCACCCAATAACAGTCAGTAATTCTATATTTCGGCCCTGTTTTTGTATAGTTTATGTTGCATTATGTTGACCTTTTTGTCAGGCAATCATATCATTTACATTGTTTGGGTGAGGGCACGACCTTCAACAAGGAAGCCTTCCTCATAGGACGTGTTTTATGTTCAGGTGCATTTTGTTAGACATTTGAATGCTTTATCACAAGTTTTCATATCATAAATCAAGTTAGTGGCTGTCATCGCATAAGATTCAATACCACCGTCACGTTGCATGGAACACGCCTCTCTCTAATTCATCATAGGCGAATCCAGAGGCGGGTCGGGATGGGGGCTTGCAGGGATGCGCACTCCCCACACCCCTTTTGTGGTAAAAGTTTAATAATTGACCATTGAAACTCTTGTAAAAACGGGTAAAAATTAACTGTGCACCCCCACCCCCACCCAACCCCTTTCTCAAAATGCTGTATCCGTCCCTGCGTTCGTGCCTCACTGGGGGATTGTTATATTACTGCTAACTCGTTTCTTGTACAAACACTGTCGGGTTTAAAGTGACTCTCTCAGCTTTTGGCTTTTCAAAAAGTTTAATTTCCGTTATGTATTGGTAGAAGGTAAATGCCTGATACGATACCTGTTTGGTTTATGTTTTCTTGGGGTCTCTTTAATTCATCAGGAGAGCATGGCATTGCCGTTGAATTTCAAATTAATTATTACAAAAAAAGTACAGAATGTATGTAAGTCTTACTCTTTTACAGCAAGTCACTGCTTTCATCCAGTCGATTAAAGGACTGCATAGTTTGTTCGCTTCTGTTATAGAAAACAATATATAGAAAACCATATATTTGTTTGTAAAAGACGTTGCATCTTGTTTCAGGATTATGAAAGCCTAATGCTGCCACTTTTGTAGCATGAAATATATTTTTCCGATATTTCCCGTTGCTTCGGTCATCGTGTCGGTGCTTGGGAATATTTTCTCGTTTCTTCGAATATTTTCTCATTCCTTCGAGTATTTTGTTGTCACTGTCAAAAACATTTCGAGTATTTCCTCGATGCTTCAACTATTTTTTCGATGCTTCAAGTGTATTTCAAAACTTGAAATCTTGAGTGCTTGAAAGAAACTTGAAGTGCCGAGAAAGTAATTGAAGCAACGAGAAAATACTCCCAAGCACCGACAAAACGATTGAATAAAATCGTTATGCCACAAGGGGGCAACATTTGGCTTTCGTCATACCACGATAATGTTTTAATATTGTAAACTGTCAAATAAGATACTCATTCGGATGAAGGAGCTTATTTACCTTATTACTTATATTGTACTCTTCTTGAAAACACTAAGCGATCAGATCCTGGGATTTGAAAGAAGAAGTAAAGACACTGAAAGGTGTTTCTTCAAAGATGTTTTTTCTTGTGCCTTTATAACAAACATCGTTTAGATTCATTGTAGAACATCTTCACCTATATTTTTGGTTTACCATTTCTTACATGTCCCTTTTATAGTATTATTTTCATCTATGATGTTAATAGAATGAATAACTGTCCATTCTGTTTCCCGTTATAATAAACAACACTGAGCTGGGTGCTTCTTTATTCACAATGTAGCCGTCATACAGTGTCAGTATTATCTATCACAATTGGGCTCATAGGCGGACAAACAGCAGTTGATAGTTAAATGTGGGAAACAATGAACACTGGTTTTGATAACATTTTCCCCACCTTGACTTAGGCGTAGTTTAAATGCAATGCAATAATATTTTATACGAATACGAGAAAGCGAAAAGAAATATTTACAGATGTGCACATACACCTGAAGATAAATTATTTACAAATTGGACAAGTCAACAGAAGCGGATATTATTCAGTTAAAAATAAGAATGCATTTTTAAAAGCACCGATGACTGAAATGTACACAAATATACAGTCATATTATACAGAGACAGAGATAATGGCCTGTGCAGTAACGTACATTTCACTAAAGTCGGTTTAATGTGAATGTGTATGGATTACACAATCATTATCTGAATGACACATCGCACATAGTAGCAGCAAACTTAATGACACCATATCAAGATGTATTAACACATGTTTAATGACACATCATTTTACCAGGTTAAGAAGGGATCATTGCTACGCGATGCAATAACATAAGACAGCAAACTTGTTAATTTGTTTTCGTCTTATACCTCTGGCACCCTCATATATTTGTTTTGTCAATTGCTAGTTTAATATATAACATACTCTCAAACTAGTTTTTTAAAATAAGTCCTAATCTAGTTGTCACTATGTCCTTCGACGACATAATTGTACATTTATGAAATGTATTTGCCAACTATATGGCTGAAATATTGCGATGTGACGATAAATGTTAACTCACTCACTCATTGGGGGAAAGACACATTGGTTGCCAATTAAAGAAAAACTTTCATGTCAAATATGTGTAAGCATGTATCGATAGTATTATGTTTTGCTGAAAGAAATACAGAATAGGCGTTTTCAAATAGTGTGACATTATCATATCACATTCAGTCTAGGAAAAAAAGGTTTGAATTTAAAACAAATGTAAACAACTTAGTAGTTATTTGAGGCTTTTTTTGCTTTTGAGAAAACTTTGTTGAAAGCTTAATTACTTGTACAAACATAAAACTGTTTCATCAAGTCTCTCGTGCTATTGGTACATATAACAATTCGATCATTGAAAAGACTTGTACACTTTTACCCAGTAGTCGTGTTCAGTGTCATAACTAGACTACTGTGTCATTATATTGCAGTCATGTTTGGTCTTTTAGCAAAAGCCTTGTCCACTTGCATTAGAAATATTGCTGATAACACACTGGGCTGAGAAAAACCAGATACAATATTGAAATGATATTGCATAGTGCTATCATGCTTTACAAGTTAGCATAGAGTCCAAGAGATTCCTGTCGTCCTTGTGCAAACTCCAGACACCGGCGAACATCCATCTGAAGGTGAAATAAAACACATGAGAACTGTAGATTAAAGGCACATTGTCCTTATTATGGTGTCTCACTGTCTCGAGCATGCGTTAGCATGGAGACATACTTCTCTGCATTAACCAAACCCGACTGTTTCTAACCCGCACAAACCAATATATACATGTTTAATCATGAATATGTGTAAAGTATCTAAGTCACCTGCAGCTAGATTCCACATGCCAGCAAAGACAGACGATTATGATGGATGGCTGTGAGAATTCTACCTGAGAGAATGGAGGTCCACCGAGAGTTGGGTGTAGATGTCGCATGTTGTTGATGACGTCCACCCTGTTGTCGTCCTGCAGTCTGCTGGCGATGTTCACCAAAAGGACCAGGAACCGTGCCTCGCTCACAGAGCTGCAGTAAAGAATAAGTACCACTCATGGGTGAACTCAAGAAGATACAAGATTGGTTGCATGACTTGAATATTTAGTGACGTATAAAACAGGAAACTTGCAGCATGTAAAGAATGAATTGTTATCGATGCACATTATATATACCTACATATTGGTATCAGATGAAACTACATGAGAGTAGAGTACTGAAATATTTGTAATAACCCCCACAATTATAATGATTATGACTGCGGTTTTACACTCACTACAACATTTTCTGTTGATAACGACTATAAAATCAGTACGATATTTAGTCGCCCGCAACTACCAGGAATCGATGTGTACTGATATTGCGTTTGATTATGTGCTCATGCGATGTGGATCAACATATTTCAGTGTTTGTGGCATTACACATGCCTCAAGAATGTGTCCCAGGATGGCGAAACGAACTGTGTCGCCAAGAAACGACTATTTAAACAGCTTCGCCCCAATACATATTATGGAGTTTTCAAAGCTCTGATCTGAAATCTTATACCTTTCAGATACATGGTAGATACATATTCATGTGTAGAGCTTCTGAGACAAGTACATATTACACTAAAGAATTGTGTTGGTACAGAAATGGACTGATGTGAACAAAATGTTCTTACTCTGAAATGATTGTGCAGGAATATCGCTGTGGGTCACTCATCCATGTGAGTAAGCTGTCAATCAACAGAGTGACACTTGGGTCATGTGTGCTTCCGGTCACATGATAGTGTTGAATTGTTGTGGTGACGTCAGCATCCTGAAATACAGTTTTCCACTTTTTACATACAATAAGGACAGTTAAACTGAAAATGTATTTAGCCATAGTTTTCAGCAAAATCATGAGTGAGTGAGAACTGAATATGTTCCATATTTGTGGGGAAACGGGACCTCCGTCGTGACAAGTGAATGCTTTAATAACTAGGCTACCCCATTAATAGTAAGATGATGTGTTCGTAATATTTTGTTGCTGTGCACAATGTTTGGTCTAGGGACATCAAAAAAGGGCATTGATGTCATTCTTTGTCCAAAACTCTATTGCTCTGGCACTGTTTGACCTTGGATATTGGTCATGACTGTCAAAAGCATGGTGCATTCAATACATCCTCTTTTCGATGAAAGGTAAGCGTGAATTGTAACATATATGTCATAAGCCTTACATTTACTTTCAGATCAATAGTGTTCAGGATAACATCATTAGATATAACTTTAGACATATATGCAGGCTTGCTGTCAGCCTTGATGTGGAGACTGGACTGTCCATCGACGGGAGCAAGATCTGCAAGCCAAACAGTGTTGACTTAAGTGACTGTTTCCTTTTCAGGATAGTTAATATTTGAGAGTACATTTTGGATTGTATAATAAGTAACCATTAATCTACGACTTTTGAGGAAAGAAAGGAAGAAGAAGAAGATAGTGTTAATTTTACAACCACATATTACTTTATCTACATAGCAATCGTTTTCTCAAATGTTTTATAACAATTCCTACCTGGGTTTCTGTAGCCAACGTGATCAATGTGCGCGAATCGCTGTTATACATCTGATTCCATAGTTCCTCCTTGTCTGGTTGTAACGTTGTTACGAAGAAGCCCTTCCTTGATGTGTAGGACTGCAGTGAGATATAACCTATTACATATACACTTATGTTAACTGTGTATATCATCCTGATCTACAGACATGATGTAACATAAATAATTTTAAGATGTCCGACCTGATAATTACATCAGTGAGTTAACCTATATTCAGCCATATTAAGAAGGACATTGTAGACAGTATTAACTTACTGCCACCGTGAAAATGAACAGTACGTTTAGAACAGTGTAACTGCAACTGCCTTCTAACTAGATCCTCGTTGATGCCCATAAGGCATCCCTGCTTAAAGTATGCATGATTCTGACTGTGGCATGAGTTTGAAGGACTACCATATAGTGATAACACCACGTGTTCGCGAACAGGTGATTCTACCCTGCCCACCGGTAGCAGACATCACAAACCCATGGAAAAGCAGTTTAAATGTTCGCTTGAAAAATCTCGGGAACACCTGACACAAGTGAAAATGAGAGTTGTACCCGACATAATTGTGTTACTTACGCGTCAGATTTCTCTATAAATAGTTTTGAAGCTTTCCTGATGCCTTGGTTGTTGTAACCTAAGAAAAGCAAGAGCTCCTGGAATATTTCTCGACACAAAGGGAAAGCTAACTCTTTATATCCCTTATGACATACAGTCTTGCGGGTAGTTGCTGGAATATTTCTCGATACAAAGGGAAAGCTGACTCTTTATATCCCTTCTGACATACAGTCTTGCGGGTAGTTGCTGGAATATTTCTTGACACGAGGGAAAGCTAACTCTTTATATCCTTATGGCATATAGTCTTGCGGGTAGTTGCTGGAATATTTCTCGACACAAAGGGAAAGCTAACTCTTTATATCCCTTATGACATACAGTCTTGCTGGTAGTTGCTGGAATATTTCTCGAAACAAAGGGAAAGCTAACTCTTTATATCCTTATGACATACAGTCTTGCGGGTAGGTGCTGGAATATTTCTCGACACGAGGGAAAGCTGACGTTTGAAATCCCCTCTGAAATACAGATCGTGTAGAGATTCTGTTACACTGAATCGTTATGCTTGCACCTGAATTGTAAACAGATGGGTTGGCGTTGCGTCTGCTTTGCTTTCTGGATTAGGTGACTAAGCAGGTGACTGGTAAACACGGTACACGTTATGGTAGCTATCCAGGCTTGGCCGAATCATAATACTCCGTATTACGCCAACCAACAAACTTGAACGGACTGAAGTGAAGCTTTAGAAATACCGGACCGTTAGTAATCTCCACCCTGTTGGCAAAGTGATACCAAACCAGGAAACGAGCATTAAACTTACCTTCAGATGTATTTTCCAAAGCCTGCAAATGAAACAGATAGCACATTCACACAACAAATATGTGCAATATATGGTAAAAGATATAGAGAAAACATGTGTTATCCAAAAAATATTTTGGTTGGTTGTTTCATCATGGTTACAACTGTAATGTTGTTAGTGTTAGAACAAATAATTATTTCATATTTCTTAATAGCCTTGATGGACATTCATCCCGTTGGGTTTACCTACCTCCAGGTGTTCCTGCACGTTTCTTTTGCCCATGGTAACCCCAGACACATGACTGAGATCTATCTGTCTGATGGCGTCAGCATCTAGTGAGGTGTCCCCCCCTCTGTAACCGCCATAGCCACGGCCTGGTACAGGAACAGGTACTGCTCCTGGTGTTAGACAATGAGAACGTGATATCAGGAGACCAGGATAGATAACCAGTGAACTACACAGGGTGGTGGTGGTGTACTCACTTTGGTCTGTATCATGTTCTTCCTTTGGCCTCTCATGCTGGAGACGAAGCTGACGACGTCCACGATCCACTAGACTCTCTATAGCGATGTACGTCCCTGTCCGGCCTATACCAGCACTAGAAAAGAAGAACCATTATAAATATGACACGATATTCCTAATTTACACTATTTTCTACATCAAATTGCTTATGGTCCACTCGTGGCTCGCCAACCCCAATTACTTTCTTATAATCTACAGCTTCCGAAACATACATATATCAATATGTATTTCTCTATATATGGTGATAATGTTGGGAAAGTTACAAATGCAGTGACTGAACGCGGAAATAGATACTCTGTGTCATCTTATAAACATAAGTTTATTATCGTTTCCGTCCGAGTCGACCTGTGTGCTCGTGACCATCCCAGTAAAACTCTAACCTGCAGTGGACTATGATAGGTCGTGTTTGATGTCTTGTGGTGACCTTGACCCTCCACAAAAACTCCAGCAAGGCGGAAGTGTCTGGTACACCGTGGTCGGTGAAGTGAAAGTGTTGAACGTGGTGTATCTTCCCTTCCTGATATTTAGAATTAATAGCATTTTATTTATGTTGAATAATACTTTTGTCACAAACTATTACATATTTATGTTTATATTTTCGATAAAGACATGGTTTAGAAAAATTGTAATCATTGCACAAATAATACCGATTTATTGTGAACAGACAGTTTTGTGACTGTGTAGTTTGCAAGTTGAGTTTCTGTCTCCTTGGTAACTGAAATGTCGCCGTAAATGGATGTTCCTTTCTCTGGCCAGTATTGAAGACACTTCATCTGTAAATATTAGGAGATTTAAACATGTCAAGTAGGATTAATATCTCGATCATATCAAACGAGGCTATACAATCATCAACACGAAACACTACAACGGGTGTTATTTTGTATGTGAGATTTCTATTTTTGGTATCATTACGGATGAGTCATTTGAGTCTCTCGTGTCAACCATACTTCTTTAAACACCATTATCCAGTTTCTGCTGAGCATTCCTTGGGTGGGAAACGAGTTGAATGCGTGGAAGATACTAAAATACATTACCTTCCCCTTCCCCGCCTCTACAAGTCCCGTCACCATGACAACTGTTGTAGATTGCTCCTGATAGATCATTCTCCAGAAATCCACCATCACTTCCGGTCTGTAGGGACCTTATAGGAATATGAATATGACATGAAACGTCTAAAGATCATCCATAGGTATTCAGAAAATAAATATATAAATAGAATCCTACTTTTATGCTTCATCAAATGACACTTCTACGCTTCTACGTGGTTTTCCTTCTTTGATATATATGCTCAACATCAAAAGCAGTTTAACGCAATTACCAGTAGTTTTGTATTTTGTAGTCCACTTTGCTCTAACAACTGTTTTTGGGAGTATAAATTAGTTGCTGAAACACATTTTCGTAATTCCGTTCTATACGTTTGTGCTCCATTGTGCTGTCATGATAAGATCATGAGTACCAAAAAGCCAACTAAATGGACTCTTTTTTCAAAAGCATAAAGACAAAAGACGTAAATTCAAAGTGGGTTCGGATGCACACCAATCACTGATGTAAAGTTAAAAACGGAGATATCCCGAAGTGGAAATACACCTGTAACTCAACATTACGTCATTACTAACAAATAATGAAGGATTAGATGTTGAATGACATTGTTTTTTTGTTTTTGTTTTCATTGGGTTAGCAATTATACAATAGCTGCTTTCTTTATATATCAGTTTGAGTAACCGTTTGTGTGTGTGAAACCTTACCTTGTGCTGCTATGTAACGCTTTTCTGCTTTATATCCCTGAAGAAAATTTGCGAGATATGTATTATTTGTATAAATATAAAACGTCACTGCCAGAAAAACAGTAAAAGCAAGTCCCTTTTGTCAGTTTTGGCAACACAATAAAAGGAAGCTTTTTTATACTGATTCGCTTAAATATATTCCTGCTGTTTTTAATAAGGCAATATGTGCCAGATAATCCAGTGATACCAGCCATGATAAAAGAGCAACGAAATTGGGTGACGATAACATGCAATCAATATACTCATCAAGTCGGACCAGTCGAACAACTCAGTCACATATTATGACAGGAACATATCACATATGCCCTAACTCGGACTATCCATGGATTTCCGCGTTATGAACCTATAAAGTACACCAAACCTTACACAGGACGCCTAAACTACTAAAAGTATATGTTAACTTCAAATGACAAACTACAAGATCAAAACGGACCATTTTGCAGCTACGCTCAGTGTGTATTTGGTGTCTGACTGACAGTCGCTGCCTCACTCACATCGAGGTAGCTGGCGTTGATGTAGTCTCCATCTTTGTCGTCACTGACGCCGTGCAGCACCACGCGGTTGTAGTCATCTGAAAACGAATACATCGTCGATTTAGACTTTACACTGAATGACGAAGTGCAGCTGACTGAAAACAATTATGCCATACAATGTCAAAGTTGACCTCAGAGTTAAACATGATCATCTACAAGATGTACTCACATAGGTAATAACCTCTGAACCTGTTCTTTCCTTTGTTTTTAGGTTGTTGAGATTCATCATATGAGTTCACATAACCATCAGGAAGTCGCTGAAAAGGAAAACATGTGACATACACAGGCTGATACTAAACAAATCACTTACTCCACGTGATCATTATGACATCCAAGGTATGAACTGTTATGTGTCCAAACTAAAACCAGTAAGATGGAAGCAACTGGCATTAAGTGTAATTGCCTTTGTGTGAGAGTTGGTTGTCTCGAACAACATTCTCTGGCCAGTCAAGTCGAAAGAGGGAATGCATTATGTACGTGCTAGATATAATCAGTCTTTCTTGCCGCCACAATTCCCATTCGGAAAACAAGCATGAGATAATTTGCTTCCATTTTTCTCATTTCAGGAGAATTTTATATGTAATGGATGTTTCAATGATGGTTTTGTGTGATGCAGCTTTCGTGGTGTATACTAAATACAATAAAGTAAGTTAATTATGTTAAATTCTGTTAATTCCTCCTCGTACATGGTGACGTTTAAAATGTGTTCTCGAGCTTGAGCGCGTCATTTTGAGTTTACCTTAAATTCTTCTTCTGCACTTGCTGGAGTCATTTCTTCCACCCTTGTCTGTAATTCTGAAACAGGAATCACGTGATCCCGTCCATTGTCGTCCAGGTTGTAGTAGTTTCTGTCAGGGGCCTCAGGTGTGTCCTCAACCTGTTCACGCTGGTCAGACAAGTCACAGTCCTCTTCCTCATCCACTTTCTGGAGGTCAAGGTCACCTGTTCCGCCTTTACCAGTGTCCTTGCTTCCAGCCGTAGAGACAGCTTCTCCTGCTGAATTGCCTTGGGATTTATTCTTCCTATCAGCCTTCATTTGTTTGGCTGGTGTCTTCTCTTGAGACAACATTGGTTTCTCGTCGTTGTCAAATCCAACATTCATGTACATACCAATGTCTTCCGCTACAGGAAACAAAAAGAACACATAATACTTCATAACTGAGATGCCGACATAATATGATGTTAGTCTTTATCATGGCTGGAGGTATGGATGGTATATACAGAAGTTAATGGACTTCTAAAAAGCAGATCTATGTCAGTGTCCAGGTCCATCATGCAGTATTATTATTGAGTATACAAGATCATTTACGTATGCTACAGCCTCTGTATATTACATCAGACAAACATAATCTTGCATAAAGGAAGCAAACTAGGGAGACGAATTTACCTTGTGTGGGTTTCACGTTATCAGTAACCACTGGCGTGTGTGCAGAGCGTCCAGGACCTTTCCCCCGTCTTCCTTTAAATGTAAGGACAGAAACTGAAATACAGCTTGAATAGAACAAGGGCTCGTGATTTTGCAATAAATATGTACATTATAGGGGTTTGAATCGGTATAAAAAAGCAAAGGGCTGATCAATTCTGGACAGCTCCCACTACAGCAGTGATTGGAAAAGAGGCGGCCTTAGGCTGCTGACTTGGGGTATGTGTGACATCTTTCTCTGGATGTTACAATGGAAGATACCAGACAATGTAGGCATATATGTGCACACGTCTCTTGAACGTGCTTACTTAAATAATCTTTGTTATTTTAGAAGCCGTTGTGTCAAAAGCATGTTCATGATGTCACGACAACAATACATCTGTCATAAATTGAAAGAAAATTATTTTTCTTTAGATTACTGTTGTTAGAATGTATGAACAAGTCACTTGGGTATCTTGTTTCAAAACCGCTCCAGAACCATGAACTCTTGTTATACGTGATGTTGCCCTCACACTCTCTACCCCAGTTTTGACGGTCAACCCTTTATTCAGATCCATGCTTGGACAGAACTGATTGTTTAATTTCGTTTACATATTTATTTATATCCAAGATTGAGTCTGCGTGTACGACACTGTATAGGCACTTCGATGTGTTCTACATTGCTCTGAGATATGTTGAAAGTCCTAAGTCCGACATGAAATGACTGTTTTAACCTTTGTACCATCTGCTGTTTCCTATCCCACTGACATTACATGGACTTTAGCATTAAACAACAGCCACATCATACCTATATTACTCTGTCACAACAACAGTCTCGTGACAAGCTCCTCTCCTGATAGAGCAGTAGCTTATGAAGAGTCATCTCATCTCCCCCCGTCTCCATTGTAACCTGCCCGTTGCCTTGCACCCCACATTGACATCTTGTCACTACCTGTACAGTCATCCCGTGTCCAGCCTGCTTCACATCCACCATCACAGATCCCTGATCATTGTAACCTGCCTGTTGCCTTGCACCCCACACTGACATCTTGTCATTACCTGTACAGTCCTCCCGTGTCCAGCCTGCTTCACATCCACCAACACAGATCCCCGTTGCGTCACAGGAAGAGTTCTTCATACAGTGTCTGGAGCTGCAACTCATGCTGCACTTGATCCCATAATGTTTGGAATCACATTCTGGAATAAGATTATTATACAAGTCATGTTTCTTTCCACCTCCTATAAGTAAAACATACACATGTGTTACTCATTACATCTCTATCACCACATTCATTGGTATATCTTGAGGTGACACATACAGCTGATATTCTGCAGTCATTCACAGGTTGTGTAAGTACGAACTTTGTTCAATGTTGCAATAAGTATTAAAGTTCTGATTATTTGAACTGAGATACAACTATCTTGGAAATCGTCATCATGTACTTAATCATGTTTAGTAGCCGCATAATGATGGATAAACAGTTTATAGGATATTATGTCCCTACTCTCATCATTCATTCACACCAAAGCATTTAACAATTCAATCAATATCATCTGTGCGATGTTCTTACTTCCTCAACACATTAAATTATGCTAAGGTTATTTAGACATGCAATAGACACTGGAACATTTCCTTTGAATATTCACAAGTCTGGCGATTACTCTTACAAAAATACTTTGACACCGTATGCTTTTTCTCTTGCACCTGACGAAAGTATTTAACAAAGTTTGTCACTGTCATAAAAGTTTTGTTCACATGTTTTACATGACCTGCAGATACTAGGAAAAATATAAAAGTGGAAAGTGCCTATGTTCTCAGACAACGTCTTCATTCAGCCATACTTATTGTCACCCACACTAGTGACCCTCATTAGTGACATTACCTGTACAGTCTGCCCGTTTCTACCCTGTCAGACATCCACTGTCACAGGTCCCTGTTGAGTTACAGGAAGAATTTCCATCACAGTTTCTGGAGGAGCATACTTCAAGACAGTTGGATCCATAATATTTGGAATCACATTCTGAAATATATTAGCAGTCTCTTAATATACTCTCCCAAACAGGAAACGCATATAGGATTTTCAACTGTATTTTTATGGGTTTTTTAAAACATCTTGTAGGCTTTTATGGGTCAATGAAATATAGCAAAATTGCACACTGGGAATGCAGACTTATCCGTCTTTGGCACCAACTCGAGGAAAGTCAGTTTGAATGTCACATGGAGACGTGTGGTGGCGCTGAAGTCAATACCTCATGTGACCACCGTGGGCATCCAGAACTGCATGGCATCGCCTCGGCATCGAACGAATAAGTTTCTGAATCTCGTGTTGCCCAATCGCAGCCCTCTCTTCCCGTAGTGCCTGTGCGAGTTGCTGAAGTGTCTGGGGCTGAGGGTTACGGCTTCGCACCCGTCTGTCCAGGGCATCCCACAGATGTTCGATCGGGTTGAAGTCCGGTGATGTTGAGGGCCGGTGGAGCACATTGATGTTGTGGTTCTGGAGGACGTCTCTAATGTGACGTGCTGTGTGGGGCCTGGCATTGTCCTGTTGAAACAACTCCCTCTGGCGATCAATGATTGGGAGGAGGTGTGGGCGTAGGATTTCGACACAGTACCGTTGAGCTGTCAGGTTGCCCTGGATCATCACCAAATCACTTCTCCTACGGCAGGTGATCTCTCCCCACATCATAACACTGCCCCGGCCGAATCTGTCCACCTGGGGAACGCAAGCGTCGGTGAAACGTTCACGTCAACGTCTGTACACACGCATTCTTCCATCGCGTCGTTTCATCACTGAACCAGATTCTACGCCAATTCGGTAGGTTCCAGGCCTGAACGTTGGTGCACCTTTGAACTCGATGTCGACCATGTTGTTGTCGAAGCACAGGGCCAAAATAAGGTCTTCTGACACGTAAACCAGCCTCTCTCAACCTGTTCCTGACGGTCTGTGCAGAAAGCCTCCTCAATCCGGGTATTTGTCGAGCGGTACTGGTCGCCGTAGCTGTTCGATGATGCAGGTGATGTACCCGGATTTAGCGATCCTTCGCCGCAGTGGTCGCTCGAGGTCGCCCACTACGAGGGGCATCTGCTATCAAATTCTGCCGGCGATATTTCTCCCAGAGCAGTGAAATGGTGCTTTGGTGAACATTCATGCGTCGGGCAACTGCACGTTGAGACTGGCCAGCTTCAAGCAAACCAATGGCGATATTACGGTTGGCTTCACTTAGACGTGGCATTTTGCGTTCGTCAACAATTTTCCAAATACAGTGAATAATCGACAGACAGCCATCATCCGTTTATACCCTTCATTGAGACCATCTGATCCCCAACTTTCACGAGCATTGCATGTGAATTGTGTATTCTGCGACACTACACGACGAAATTGAAAATCATGCTGTTAAATACGGGTATTTTACGGATAGTGCGTTTTGTTGTGACGTTTCAAAACATAAACACCATAGGACTCATAAACGTTTTAATTCATTGCTACATGAAATTGCTATTTTCATGATGCGTTTCCTTTTTGGGAGAGTATATTTTTTTCATATGTATAAGTACAATGTCTTTCCGTGGCATTTAGAAGTTGTACATTGATGTCCAAGATATTTTTATGGATTAAAATTCTTTGTAATTTCTCACAACGTTTCGAGACCATTCCAGGTTCCTTCATCAGGTGAACTGGCAGTTAGGACTATGACGTCGTCACTATGACGTCATAACTGAGTTATAGCGTCACAATGCAAGTGACATCACAGTACACTAGGGAGAGTACTGTATAAGTGAGTAGAACCGGCAACTTCCTTTCTTAGATGTTGCCCTCCAATCTACAGATAAAGGTCTCGTCACTTCCGTGTACAGGAAGCCATCTCACATGGATCAATATATCAATTACAACTCCTGTCACCACCCACAGATCAAACAGATAATTTAAACAGTGAAATTGATTACCTCAAGAGAACCTTTACTGTCCTCAATGGCTACCCAGTCCGTCTTGTCTCCAGGACTATCACCAAAACGCTTGAATCATCAGAAGCGCGCCTCAAGCCTGAACCATCACCAATCAGGATCACAATACCCTACGTGGGACCAGTCAGCCATCAGATAGCCCGATTAATCAAGAGCAAAGCGGGCTTTGATGTAACTTTCTCTAGCGGTACAACAATTAAGACACTCCTCCGGGCTAATGGAAGAGGATCTAGCAATGGAAGCCCCAACCCTAGAGGATGTGTATACCAAATACCATGCAGCTGTGGCAATCAGTATATTGGCGAGACTCTCAGGCCCATTAACACCGGGTTGCTGAACACAAGTCGTCAGTATGCAAACAAAGTGATAAGTCAGCTATATCGGAGCACAAGGCAAATAACCCAAGTCATGTTATCATGTGGAATGATATCAGGGTGCTTTCGAGAAATAACAACGACTGGCGTCGGAGAAAACTACATGAGGCTGTGGAGATAAGGAGACATAAACCAGCAATGAATCGTGATCAAGGTGTATACCTGCCAAGTGCGTGGGACCTCTTTATAAAATTATGATGAACCTTAGATAAAAGAAAAACGAGTCTACTATTCTTTTTGGAAAGCCTGAATTTTCATCATTATGTAAATAATTCTTCAAACTCACTTCCACAGTAACTTTATCCCTAGTGTATTGTGATGTCACTTGCATTGTGACGTCATATCTCAGTTATGACGTCATAGTGACGACGTCATAGTCCTAACTGCCAGTCCACCTGATGAAGGGACCTCGAATGGTCCCGAAACGTTGTGAGAGAAATTACAAAGAATTTTAGTCCATAAAAATATCTTGGATATAAGTACAATGTTCATAAGAAAGTGGAAAGTCTTTCAGAATCAATTTATTTCATATCCACGTACCAATAATTCATTCCCCAGACTCACCTTCTTTACAATCAACGCCCATCCATCCAGCTTTACATCCAGAATCACATGACCCAGTCACATGATCACATGACGAATTTCCAGCACAGTGTCTGTCAGAGCAAAGACTAGTACAGAGTGCGCCGTACTTTCCACTGGAACATTCTGTAACAAAGACATGATGAGCTTACAATGTGTTTGACAGTTATATCTATAATCTATACACTGCTGTGTAACTGATGCATTTGTTCTGCCTGCCTCACTATGCATTCAATCTGTCTTGCATTACCAATAAACTGTCGACATTATTTACCTTGTGTGCAGTCAGACCCTATCCAACCAGGAAGACATCCTGTGTCACATGCTCCAGTGTGACGGTCACATGACGAATTTGTAGGTGAACACTTCCGCTGTGCACATGTTTTGTTGCAGTTAGTACCATAGGTTGTGCCGTTGCAAGCTGTCACATATAGACAATAAGTAGGTTAATAATTCATAAATATGCGTAGGCATTTCATTCAGCCAGTATGTTCATCAAAGCGAATGTTGAGGAAGTGTGTTAAAACTTAAAGTCACATCAGCAATATTTCAGGCTTATCGTGACTAAAACTAGTTCTAAATTCATAATACATATATATAATATATAAAGCCCTGTCAACGAAAGACAGTAAAATTACTACATTATCACAAACTGAGTTAAAACTAGCTAGCATATATCTTTAAAAGTAGAAAACTATTTTTGGACAATACAATGTAAAAATACTCTATAGATTGCCAGCAACTGAAGGCTGATCACCATACTAGGGACCATGGGGACTTACAGTACTTTTGCTCACTGCATGGACCCTAGCTGGATTTACACAATCCCTTCAGCCACTGGTGATTGTAGTGAAATTTAGGCATTATTTAAAACAACAATTATTCTACGATTAAAATAATGATGTAGGTCGAAATTGACTCTGAAAGTTTTGGGCCTTACGTACCCTCTCAGGACGACAATAACTTTACAATGCTTCACAGCAAATGAAACGAGTCAATAGGTAATGTTGATGCACCACTAGCACGGAGCCGACAGTAAGACCTCCAGAACGACCGCCTCTTGTTATTCCTTTGCATTAACAATGACGAACCTAAGATGACAGTCAACAAGCCATGTAAACGCATCTACAGCCAGAAGTACCACTGACTGGGACACACAATACTGGCAGTAAAATGTTTCCTCACCTGTATCACATCGTTCTCCCTGCGAACCCTGGTCTACAGTCTCCAGGGCACAATCCAGTCAAGCGATCACAGGTTGAATTCAGGCAGTGACAGAACGTATTACACTTCAGTCCGTAGATTCCTGGGCTGCAAGCTGGTGCATTATTAACACAAGATAAGTACATAAAGACAAGCGCATATATCAAGGGTAACTTGTAGGCATAAATGGAATGGAAATTGTGGAAACATTGAATCGATTAATCGCCGACATTATGCAATTTACATGATTTGATCAGTGATTGCTCTGTAGTTCTATGGATTGATAGTTGACAGGAATGGACAGTATGCAACGCAGTACATGTACACATCGAATTGGACCATTTGTCAAGTATTTTGTGTTATGTATAGACATTGCTTCATTGCTACAGAACGATGGGAGTCTGAAAACAATGCTGTTTTTGTTCACAGTTAAATAACTAACACGCTGTTTAGCCTTACAAATAGATTCTAAATATCTTACTAAATGGGCCACGCTAAATGGTCAAGTGCATTTGCCTACTTTTTTCCATCTCAGCACCAGAACCAGAGTATGATTTCCATAACAAATTAGGAACTGTCAACGTGGCACCCAAATAGATTATCATATATGAAACATTATGGGGAGAAAGGAGTCATGTTTCTCTGTTTGGTAATGCAAATATTGGCATGTGGATATGGTCAAAGATGATTTCAAAGCAAATAAGCGTCAGCTGAAAAGAATATTAACAAGTCTCTATTATCAGACGAAGTAGACTCCCGAAGATCAGTGATGACATCAGATATTAGCGAAAAGGTATCTTCCAATCCGGAGACACCTTCCATCACTCCATATCTATCTTTTCTGAAGGGTGTGGAACATATTTAAATATAAACTTGCATACTTGTTCAGTATTAACATCTGATGTTTATTCCATATGATATAGATCTGATATTAACCTTTTGACGACAAGACTTTTTAAATGATCCAATGATCAATGATCTTTATGAATATGAATCAGAATTTCTGAGGTAATTTGGTCAAGAAGTTCAACTTGAGCTTACAGAACCAATAAACTTTGTTTTTTGTTACTCTTTTAACCATTACACATATGAAAGATTTGTGGTTAGTCTTATGCGGAACACCAAATTTATTCTTTAAAAACTTGTGGTTAATTAACACCGAGCGATTAAAAGTGGCCAAAAAGTCGCCTGCTTCCCTCTCGCCCGCCAACGAAACCACAGACAGGTTACGTAACTCTGTCGCCAGAGCACTGCAGTAACGTCATATGAGGAACGATTTTCAGTTAGTTGTATAGAAAATGTGTAGCACGCTCATCATTTTGATGATTTCTCGACATCAACGACGACATGCCGAATCGTTGCTTTGTCGTCAATTGCTCCTAGGGGTCGGGCGATGGTGTCCCCATGCACAGATTTCCACAGGACCCCGCAGTTCGTGCTAAATGGGTTATGTTTGTGAGTGCGAAGCGAGCGTTGTGGAAGCCTGAAACGATATCTTACTTGTGTTCAGATCGCTTCACGGAAGTTAAAGAATCAAAACTACTTACTAGTAAAATATGCATATGATTGATGACCATAAAGATTTTCTATGACACAACTTGTAACATAACGATTTCTTCCTCGGAAGTGAGGTTGTGGTCGAAGTAACAATAATATTGTAAGTAGTATTATATTGACACCCACCTCGCTGCCACGAGAGCAATTGTTATGATATACGCTATGTCACGCAAAATCCTATTGGCCATCAATAAAATACATATATTACTACCAGTAGAAAGTAGTTTTGATTTTGTAACTCGGTGAAAACAAACCTAAATACCATTTATCCTCAGACTGGCGGATGTTCCAGACAGGGCGCCGCCATTTTTAAAAAATAAAAAAATCTGTTAGAATTAATGAGATTATAGTTTGTTTTCATCAAGTTAGAAAATCAAGACTACTTTCTACTCGTAGTTAAATATGTATTGGAATCATTACCAAACGGATTTTGCATGACACAACTTATAACATAACGATTTCTTCCACGGAAGCAAGGTGGGGGTCGAAGTCACAATACTGTGCGATAAATTTCTTGCTACATTCCCATGGTTAATGTCCACTCACCAGTATGTAGATACTAGTCCATGTTCGTCTTTATATTTGGTCTTATAATTCTAATTAGTTTATTATCATACTTGTATGCATTTTGAAACTAAATAAAAAGCAGACGATCTGCTGATACTTATAGTGAATTTATAACAGAACTGTAATATCTAGACATTTTATAGTTTGCCAATGTGAATCATAATTCGCACACACACCCTAGTGCATGTTGTCTCATTACACTTCACGGCGAAAGCAATGATTCTGTTGAATGCTACGACAAATGAATAAAAACAAAATGCAAATATTAAAATTAAAACAGATTATAGGAAGTTATAGGAACAATATCAGGCCATTACCTTGTTCGAGGAATGTATCCATCAATATCCACAAAACTGTTCCAAATGATGTGTCTTTTAATAGTTTAATATACGAAAAAGTGATAAATCTTTTCAGGTATTGGTGTATAGTCTCATTGGTCACCCAAGATAGCACACCTGGCAACTAATTGCATTATGTCCGCCTTTCTTTAAAAACAGTAATTTAGTTAGCCAATAATGGGCATTCAATCAATGTATTGCCGGTTAATCCTTTGAAAGAGGGACGTTGTTTTTACGCAGACACCGACACGACAGAGTGTATTCAGTATAGATTAGTAAATCTACATACATAAACACTACCTTTTGACAATTCCGCTGTGTAAGATAAAAGTAATTAATCAATCAGCGTGTTATCGGTTAATCCTTTGATCGATGTTTATAATGTTGAATATTTACTCCAGACACAAGAAATGCCAAATGGGAACCTTTGTCGGGTAATCTAAGTGTGTTACCACTAATTATACCTGTTATAAATTCATTAACTGACCATCAAGTGAATAATGACAAATATCATGTGTAGGTTTATACCACCTAACACGGGAGTATTAATTGCTGTATTGCATGTGAAAACTTATGGGCCGACACTGTTTTGAGAATACAAACAGATTTTTTACATGACATGATTAAATATCGACGTAAAAAAACACAGAAATGGGATGAATTTGGATCAGTCATTATACAAATAGGGCCTAACGACACCAATCGATTTTGACAAAATTGTCTATAAAAACAAGTTGTAACTCGGAAACTAGGCAAAGCAGGAGACAAAATTAAATGACAGTAGATTGTGAGAACATATAGCTTTCATTTTCCACAACAATTGTCACGATTTCAGGTTTATACAAGCCTGTAAACAAGATAATTTAACCCCTAAAATGTAGATGAATTCTGCATCGGCCCTCAAAGCTATTCCTCATATGACGTCACAGAGGCGCGCCGCTCTGATTGGTTAAAATTTCGTTCGCGGGTGAGAATTGTGCACTGTTGTCAAAAAGGTCGATTTAAGTCAATCAAAGGTCGAAATGAGTAGTTTTAATGACGGGGTTTCATTTATAGTGATGCCAGTTAGTGATTTATGTATTTGTACCCCCTAGGGTTTATGTGACCTTTACGGTACATCGATGATCTAATATCGTTCAATAATCACCAAATTGTCAATTCATGAACTTGAAATTAGGGGGACAAGTGAGATCGCCTCGACAGTTTCATATTTAGATCTATGAGTGACAAAACCTCTCCACGAGGCTGTATGACGAAGGAATGATATCAACTTTCCAATAGTCAACTTCCCTTTCATGTCGAGCAATAGTCAAATAGCTCCAGCCTTTGGTGTTTATATTTCACAACGTTTTAGGTACAATCGAGAATGCCAGTTTAATCAGGATTTCAAAGACTGGTCATACCACTCATGCTCAGAAGTTGTTTCATCAATGTTACAACATTCAAGGCTCGCATTCAAAAAGTGTTATGGTAGACATGTGGAGGACGTTTCCCAAATTTGCTGCATCAGTGACAAAGATGATGTCGGATGCAGTTCCCTGTTTTGACGTATGCCATACTTTCCCGAATTATTTCAGGTGAACAACTGTCTGGATGTTAATGGCAGTGCCACCGGTAGGGTAGGACTGTACAATCGACTCTTCTTTCAGCAAATAGTTCTTATACAGAAATAAATTACACCCAGTCAACACTGTCACACTTTCACAATGTATTTGATAATGCTTCTCAATCACTGTGACACAATTCTGGCACAAACCTTACAAAGACTCGGAAAGGGTAGTGAAACACACGACTGGTCATATACTTGTAAATACAATGAATGTCTTACCGTAGATCTCCACCTCACAGATGTTCAGTGCACTAGCATAGCCATCTCTTCCTCCTGTCCCCGAGTTCCTGATGGTGACGTATCTGCCGGTACAGATACACGTCACGTCAGTTGGGTTGGGAGTACATGGTGGACTCGGGAGGGTGGAGCAGATGCTGGAGGTGTCGTTGTTCAGATAGATGTTGGAGTTGGCATTTCTCCAGTAGTCTTGAGTAAAACACATACTGTTTCAGGCTACGTTACACTATTATACTGTGTTAATATACACGTCAGTTGGTTCCTTGGATGAACTTGGGAGGATGGAGCACACGGTGGCGTTGGCGTTGTTCAGGTACATGTTAGAGTTAGAAATATGATTAGCTTTACATGCCACATATATATTTTGCAATTAGTACTTGTATCTGGTATTAAGGTAATTCAAACAGCAGCTTCAATAACAGGGACCTATCGTAATAGCACATACACTAGCATACTGTGTCAATATAGTTGCTATCAGTTTTTATTTCAGATCACAAAACTATGTTCATGCAATAGACTAATGAGGACTAACTGAGAGGAGACACATTCAATCCAACAATATATGCATTAGAGCAGAAGGTGTTTAGAATATTTACATCAAAATCTCTCGATCGTTTGCCAAAAGTATCGGTCACTGAAGTGATTTGTGATTCCTTCAACGAAACAGATTATGCAGTCAACTGTGCAAACTGCAAAGCCTCAAAGGTGGTGATACTTTAATCTCCAATTCAGTCCAAATACAGTTACTCGTGTATATCACGGTCTGTTACCTACACATAAATACAGTTACTCGTGTACATCACGCTCTGTTACCTACACATACATACAGTTACTCGTGTACATCACGCTCTGTTACCTACACATACATACAGTTACTCGTGTACACTCTGTTACCTACACATACATACAGTTACTCGTGTACACTCTGTTACCTACACATAAATACAGTTACTCGTGTACACTCTGTTACCTACACATAAATACAGTTACTCGTGTACATCGCGCTCTGTTACCTACACATAAATACAGTTACTCGTGTACATCGCGCTCTGTTACCTACACATAAATACAGTTACTCGTGTACATCACGCTCTGTTACCTACACATAAATACAGTTACTCGTGTATATCACGCTCTGTTACCTACACATAAATACAGTTACTCGTGTACATCACGCTCTGTTGTCTACACATAAATACAGTTACTCGTGTACATCGCGCTCTGTTACCTACACATAAATACAGTTAATCGTGTACATCACGCTCTGTTACCTATACATAAATACAGTTACTCGTGTACATCACGCTCTGTTACCTACGCATAAATACAGTTACTCGTGTACATCACGCTCTGTTACCTACACATAAATGCAGTTACTGGTGTGTATCACGCTCTGTTACCTACACATAAATACAGTTACTCGTGTATATCACGCTCTGTTACCTACACATAAATACAGTTACTCGTGTACATCACGCTCTGTTACCTACACATAAATACAGTTACTCGTGTATATCACGCTCTGTTACCTACACATAAATACACTTGCAGAGTAAAGAAAGTTACTGTCCGAGTGTTTGTTATAAGTTTCAAAGGCATCCATATTATGTGAAGGAGAACAGTAATATACCTTATTCCAACACAAAACCAATTACAGTATTTCGAGTGTTGGCGAGCTAATGCATACTGTCAAATCCAAGTACAGCATATTTACGACCCCAAAGTACACTCGCGTGATAAAGTATATTCGTTTCATTCATACTTTCAGCTGAATTTCCCATACATCAGCGGATTTTTTTTTTCAATATGTAAATCACTTAGTTAACAGAATAGCAATAACAGGGTTGCTATAAATTAACATAGGTATCACTCGTTGAGGTATAATAGGTGATGACGCAGAACTATTACTGCTATAGTTTAATCACAAATGTATCTTGTCAGATAGAGCAATGCCAGCCTATTGCACATATCTGTGTGTGCGTCTCTCTATTGTCCACTATATATTTGTTGGTAAAGTACCTTAGCGTGGATTTATTTTTAAGCTGAATCACAGATTTGGAGTGTGCGAATATGTTGATATGCATGCTATCTCCACATCATTTTGTTCGGTTTCAAATTAAAATTAGAGACTATCAATTCGGTCTAATTTTCAAACAGAGTCTATTTCCTAACTGTTTCCCGGTTACACTTTTAGTTTCAACTTGGAAATATACACGTGGCTCGTAACTTTCATCGGTAAATGCACCTTCGGCGGTAGAGTTAAACATGGTCAGAAGTCAGTAAGTCCGTGCTGGCCTGTGGTCTGATGTAACACTATTTGGTGGTCAGAGGTTGTGCGGAAAGGCGGGTTTGGTTTTCATACGCTACTAGAGGTCAACAGAAGTCAATACCCAAAGTCACCAATTGAAAACAAAAACTTGCTGACAACCTAAAGGTTATCGTTAATGCTAAAGGCCAACAAGCGTCAAAACAACAACTTGTCAAACCAAATGAAAATATCGTTATCTCTCTTGTCATCTCGCTGTTAAACGCCACCTCGGCTGTAAAAACTGGACATTTACCTAAGGAGAAGATGACTGGTTAAATCAGAAACAATCACAAGTTTGGAAATAGTCCCTATGCGGTCAAACGTTTACGGTCGGAGTTTTGGATAAACATGGAGGAGATTTGGAGAAACAGTAGGAAGACAAAGGAGGGCACTGAACACAGACCAGGACAAGACAAGGACGAATGCAGAGCAGCCTGAACTCTGGGTAGGCCAACACAGTAGGACGAACCCTCGGCCCGTAACCTCCGTCACAGTCTCGGCCACCCTCTGTTGCCACTGGCCAGATAATTGCTCAAATGTTTTAAAAAGGCATTCTACAATGTGCATGTCCTCCTAATACTCGTTACAATCTTCGGCCAGCACCGTCGAATTCATCTCAGACGATGATAAGAGCAAGGTTATACAATAAATAGCTGTAGACATTACAGTTTATAGAAACATATTTGATGTATATTCGTGTACATTCATCATTCGTTTGTATCAAACGTGATTTGATCTACGCATTTGATCATCCTAATTTGGTCTTGTAAAACATTATGGAAATCACTATATGTAAGCTTAGCGTACGAGCCTCATAGCTAACATCAGCTGAAAAACCCTGTTTAATTGTATTCACATGTATAACATAAAGCATAACACGGTAGGGACAACAATAGGACGGAAATAGAATATGTCTATATCACTTATTTTCTGTTAGTTACGGCATGTCCCTGAAGTGCTATAGGCTAGCCACAAGTATGAAAGCAAATGATACCTTGCCACAACTGACTATATATCTGTTCGTCATTCATTATTACGTTTTTGTGCAAAACGAACCTGTTTTGCAGCTTCCCTTATTTATCAATGTAATGTGATTATGGATATGATGATAAATAGATGTAATACTCATCAGAATATCTTTTATAACTTATTCATTAATATATTTGTTTGATTTTGTCGTTAGTTATCCCCATTCTAATTCAACTCGTTTTACGCTGTTTTTTCGTGAAAGAAATTCATTATTTAAACCAGGTCAAAGTTCCTCTAGGTCAAAGGTTAATCATATCACTCCTTCAACTTACACCATCGCCAGAGAAAGTAGTTCCCTTTTCAAACTACACACGTTTATTATGTGCACACAGACTAAATTTGACAATGATGAATAGATCATAGTATTATAGATAAAATGGAAGGTATTATGATGAAACCGCCCTCTAGTTACAGAAATGAGCGGCCCGCTGATTCCTAAACTACGGGCCATTATCAGTTCTGTTGTCAAATGACGTCATAGCAGGTGACGTCACACTCCATAATGACGTCATAAACCTTGTTTCATGATCTAACAGTGTTGGGTCAACAGCCCGTTGCGAGTAAGTTGTTTGAACTTAAAATTAAATTTATGATACTGTTTTGTCTTTTTTAAACACAAATTCCACCAATTTTAGCTGGATAGGGGAGTTAATTGACCAAAAGCTTCTGCAAATGACAATGTCCTGCGAAACAGCGTTACCCCAGTAGTGTAGGGATACATTCAAAGGTTTCGGTGAATCGGTTTTCAAATTGCGACCGTATATGCTGATTATACCGTTGGAAATTTATAGCATTGACCAATCAGAACTCGTGTTACATACTAAGTTGAATTAGAATTTAATTTATTGGACTAGACGAGCCTAGGTGAGTATTCTTTGATACACTACAATTTTAAACCAAATGAAATAGTTTATCTTAGAACATGATGTCGACACCTACATCCATTTCTGCTGTAGATCCTGATGTCATACAGCTGGAGGTCCTGGCCCAGATCCACTGTCCAGTCTGACGGAGATCCAGCAGCGTGGAAACAGGTGCTACTACCACCATTCATGTCACTGTTTCCATCAACAGCCTTTGCCGCGTACCAGTCTAGGTACACTCCAGATGTTGTTGATGCTCCCTTGTTCAGTGCGATGTTTTCTATCAAAACATTATGACAGGTATTATGATTATAGGACATTCTACTGTTGATAGCAATATGAAAATCACAAGTCTAAAGTCTGCATTTCATGTTACATATGAATACTACATGAAACATATGCGAATATCCTGGAATATATATTTAATTTTAGGAAGAGCCATTTTTCATGCAGCACATATCAGGATATTTAATAGACGTAATAGCGTAAACCGAACGTGGCACTAACGTTTCTGGCACAGGCCTCCTGCCTTCCTCCAACCAGTGTCACAATCACCACTACAGGCACCTGTTGTTTCGTTACACGGTATCGGACAGTGACAAGAATAGCTACAGGAGTCTCCAAACTTTCCCGATGCGCAGAAACCTGTGGAGAGATGCAGAAACCTAAAACTCGTCAGTGACAAGAGTATTTGCAGTCTTTAAACTGTCCTTGCAAAATCCAGTTTCAAAGTCCATGTCGTGATAAGTTTAAATAAAGCTCCTGTTCGGATTCACATAAATGCACTATTGAAAACGTAGGGGCTATCAATAAATGTCACAACTACATTCTATATCGTTCATGAGATAAATAGTTGCACAGTGTAACAGGAACATCTAACTGAGATGTGCACGGATCCGCCTCTATTCTCACCACATCTATCCCCGAGGCATTATGCTAATCCTACGTCCACCTTATTCAGCGCACAGTTCGTTGAGAGTGTTCGAGTGATAGGGCAGTACGCGCCGTCTAGCACTATCCCGGACATGTCCTATGGGTGACTGGACTGAATGCTGACCATGGTAAGGTGGTTATGTAACCTGAAACACAAAACGACGTCTGACACAAAGCTGACGCTCTTAGCTCCAACGACTTCTTGCGTTAATGTGGCGGTCCGTCAATCGCGGGATAACAGGCATGCCGGTTCTTTCTGTGTGGCTGATTTGGAATTGTCTGGCCACTCACTCTACCACCTGTAGCTCATTGAGGCTCAATTCAAATTTGAGAGGCATTTTTGGAGACTAAGGTTTCGCAATACAATCGTTCTGTCTCCAACGGTACTCGATTGTTTATACGGTGATTGTAATTACGGAATGTAAAAAGTTAACAGCTCGTGCCACAATACGCTCTCGTCCAACTTTCCAGCATGCCAACAGCACGAAACCATCCCAGACGTAACAGACGCTGCATGTCAAGAAACGTTCAGCTGAGTCCATACAACAATACTAGAACAATTTTCAGCTGCATTTCCGAATTCACCTATTGTCATGGAAACGCTTGCTCAAACTTGGCTTGTTTGCAAAATCTTCATAATTCGTTATGAATGAAAAAACATGTTCTGTATCCATAAAAAATGATATTGTTTCCCAAATGATATCAACCCAAAATGGAATATCCCGTACTCTGTAATAGTATAGCACATTCAGCTTAGAGATACATATTCTAAGAGTTTGGTCACAGCTGGCTGAGCTACTGATCAAATATATACTCTTAAAATAAGTAGGGAACATGAACTTTCAATTTGGATAGAAAGTATAACCGTTAGCAAATTTTGCAAAGACAGACATCTTATGAACGCACCACCACTTCTCTTGATCATCACCCCTAAACATCACTCACGACATGCACGTGCACAAAGCCGTAGCCCTACACACGTGCATGGGTTGTCATTTTTTATTTGACAGTTTTCAAGATGGTCGATAAACCACTATAGACCACTAATTGTGACAGTCATCTTACAGTTGTTAGTGTTTGATTTGTTGTTGTTGTTTTGGTTTTGTTTTGTTTGTTGGGTTGTTTTGTTGTTGTGTTTTTGGGGGTTGGGGGTTTTCTTTTCTTTTTGGGGTGGTGGTGGTGCTGAAAACGGAAATCGTACACAGGCAAATTTCACATCATACACCAGTCATCTTTCAAGAGCTATTACTGTACACACAACTATGGTCATAAGTGAGTGAGTGAGTGAGTTATTATTTAACGTCACATCGGCAATATTTCAGCCATATCGACACCGAAATGGAATAGATGTATACTATAAAACCCTGTCGACGAAGGACAGTAAAACAACTAGAATATCACAATTACAACTAAACCTAGTGTGGAAAATTAAAACTAATGGCACTATTTGGACAATACAATATAAAAACTGGCTATAGATCGACAACAACTGAAGGTAGATCACCAAACAAGGGACCATGGGGACTTACAGTACTTTTGCTACCAGCGTGGAACCTAGTTGGATTTATATCACCCCTTCAGCCGCTGGTGATTGAAATCAAATTTAGCCAAAATTAAAATGACAAAAGTACCACAGCTCGTAAATTTAAATTTCCTTTGAATATTTCGGGACTTAATAATTTCTCAGGAGGCAATACTTTTACGCTACTTTTTGAGGGTACAGGCACTAACAATCTCAGTTCTAATCTAAAGTACCAATAATATAATATACTCTCCCAAAAAAGAAACGCATACAGGAATTTCAACTGTATTTTTATGTTTATTTTGAAACATCTTGTAGGCTTTATGAGTCAATGAAATATAGCGAAATTGCACACTGGGATGCATCCGTCTTTGGCAACAACTCGAGGAAGTCAGTTTGTGTGTCATGGAGACGTTGGTGGCGCTGTAATCAATACCTCGTCTTGGGCATCCAGAACTGCACCAACACCTCGGCAGAACGAATAAGTCTCAGTCAATCGCAGCCCACTTGTAGTGCCTGTGTCAAGTGTCTGGAGGGTTACAGCGTCGCACCCGTCTGTCCAGGGCATTCCACAGATGTTCGATCGGGTTTAAGTCTGGTGATCTTGAGGGCCAGGGGAATTGATGTTGTGGTTCTGGAGGAAGTCTCTAGTGTGACGTGCTGTGTGGGGCCTGGCATCCTGTTGAAACAACGCACTGCATCGGCACAATCCACTCTGGGGTAGTACAACTACAAACGCTAAAGGCAAATTACTAGAGGAGTTTTGTTCAGATAAGGATTTATGTCTTTATAATGATGGTTCCAACACATATTTACACCCTGGTACAGGAACCTATTCTGCTCTCGACTTGTCACTCACAAATTCTGAACTACTAAATGAATTTGAATGGTCAGTCCCCGATGACCTCTGTGGAAGTGACCATTTTCCTACTATACTAAAACCTGTAACTCCATCTGATGTACCTCCATCATCAAGGCGGAATTTTAAGAAGGCTAACTGGGCTTTATATGAAACACTGTGTGCTGCAAAACCTAATCCTGAACTTTTTATTGACGTTCCTGATGCTATCAACTGTTTTTCTGATGAACTGAATACCATAGCTGATGAATGTATACCACAGTCCTCTGCAAATCCACATATCGGTAAACCATGGTTCAACGATGAGTGCAAACAAGCTAAAAGGCAAGGAAAAAAGCAGAACATTATTTCCGTCGCCATCCTGTGGTGCATAGTTTACATAAATTTAAAATGTTAAATGCTAAAGCGCGGCGTACCTTTAAACAGAATAAACGCCAATCTTGGCACAATTATGTATCCACAATAAATTCTCGAACGCCCATGTCCAATGTATGGAGCATGGTCCCGAAAATTAAAGGCAAAGATACTAAATCTAGTGTCCATCATCTTAAACATGGAGATCAAATACTTACCAATAAATCAGATATTGCAAATAAACTGGGTGAAACTCTCGCTAAACACTCTTCCTCATCTAGTTATGTGCCTAACTTCAAACAATATCAAAAACAAGAAGAAAGGAATACTATTAATTTCAATTCAGATAATGGGGAAAATTATAATGAAACATTTTCTATTCATGAACTCCATACTGCTCTTCAGCAAGCTCACGATACTGCTACAGGTGCTGATAACATACATTATCAACTCCTGAAACACTTACCAGAATCAAGTTTAGAGGCGCTCTTTTGATGATATTTGCACGTCAGGTAAATTTCCTTCCTCATGGCGTGACGCTATAGTAGTACCAATACCTAAACCTGGACGTGATTATACGGATCCGTCCAATTATCGACCGATTTCACTAACAAGCTGTGTTTGCAATACCATGGAACGCATGGTAAACAATCGACTTGTTTGGTACTTGGAAACTAATAACCTTATAATCGATATACAATGTGGTTTCCGTAAAAACAGAAGCACTGTCGATCACCTAGTGCGCTTGGAATCGTTTGTTAAAAACACTCATATTAATGAACAACACGTTGTGTCTATCTTTTTTTGATCTTGAAAAGGCATATGACACTACGTGGAAATATGGCATTTTACGAGATTTACATGGCTTAGGATTGCGAGGCCGTTTGCCTCAATTTATAGCTAACTTTTTAAATGACAGACAATTTCAAGTCTGCGTGGGTTCTACCCTCTCTGATCATTACAATCAGGATCAGGGTGTCCCACAAGGCAGTATTTTGTCTGTGACTTTATTTAGTATCAAGTTCAACAGTTTATCCAAGGTTTTAAATGCTTCAATTGATGGATCACTTTTTGTGGATGATTTTAGTATTTCTTGTCGTGGTAAAAATATGCATACTAATGAACGGCAATTGCAGTTGTGTTTAAACAAGATAAATAAGTGGTGTCTTGAAAACGGCTTTACATTTTCTAAATCCAAAACTAATTGTATACATATCAGAGGAGATTCAGATTTAACCCAGGTCAAGTTTGTCTGACAGCATGCAGATGATTTTGTTATTCTAGCTTTCGCCTCTGACGTTGTTCTGGTGATAGAAGCTTAGCTCTGTTTATGCTCTGAGCTTTGAACTAGTTTTTTGGCATCTGCAAAACTAATGCTTTGGTTGAATTTGATTTGATTTATCTCCATTTGATGTTTCCAAACAGGACAGTGAGAGGAATGATCCCCTGCACAGTGTGTACATTTTTTGACATTACTGTCACAATCCTCTGCTGTACGTGTCTTCTCACCACAGTGAACACATACAGCAGACAATGTGCAAGTATTGACGCCATGACCGAACTTTTCGCATTTGAAACACCTTAGAGGGTTCGGAATGTACGTTTCTACATTGATGTTACAATAACCTGCTATAAGAGATTTTGGAGCATTTGGTGAAGAAAATGAAAACAAGTAGGTATTGGATGCTTGATTGGCATTATAGAAGATGATAGTTGATGAACATAGATATTTTTCTGGGTTACATCTTCTTTTTGTTCTCGAATACAACGTTTTGGGGGCTTGTTCTGGGGAAGGTCATCAGGTAAACTGAACAGTAACTGTTAGGTGAAGGCCGTGACGTCAGGTAAAAGGGTGACGTCATAGAATGCTATGACGGCGGACAATACATGTGGTGGTCAATAGATACACATGACATGGCTAATAGAATACATGTTATTATGAATATATAAGATGTCATTTACTGCAAAATTGATGGATCAATTTAGAACTGTGCAGATACTTATACAAAATTGTTGATTGAATTAGAAATGTACAGAGACGTATTTATAAATGTATAGAATGTAAAGTAATAGCAGTGTATACATAGAAATTATATGAGAGGTATAACATTCTCTTTTGACTACAATTAACGCTGTCCTGTCGATGACAAGAGCCTCAATGTTGGTGACTTCATCTCGACTTCATCTCTGGGTTTGGATGGCCTCTGGGTTTGGTTTATGGGGGTGTGCGGGTGATTTAAACGCTGAAAATGACAGGACCCAGGCATTTTTTAAGTCAGATTTTGACATCTGCACATGTTTGCCGATGAGAGGGAGGCGAGGGATGTATTTTCAACGTCATATGTCAATGCACATGTACAAGTTGTGGTATATTTTCACATGTTTGGATTTCAAGGTAAAGTTCGTAAAATGCAATTATGAACCTTTCTCGATGTGGTTTAATGCGTAAATGTTTCGTCGATATTAACTGATCTTCTCGCCTGATCAGTAAGACCACCACAATGTTGAGCAACCAGAAGTAAAATACCAATGTATGAAATAAGGCCCGTCCGACAACCCGAGAAGGGTTAGATTTCAGACGGACGGTCTAGATTTACAGCTAGCCAGCCCGATGGTCTGGTAAAACAAATTAGATGTTATATGCATCTGACTCATACCTTGGTTTCTGGTCTGGTTAAATCTATTTTGGACTGGTGACATTTTGAAGTTACCAGCCCTGATATCCAGCTGGGGTTTTGGCTTATTTCATACACTGAAAATACCCAAACAAACTGTATTAACGGTTACGCCCACTGAATATCTACAGTATGCGTAACACTATGTGTATTCTCTCTTTTGTAGTTACAAGAGGCGACTATAGTCCCTGCATATTCCGGGTTTAGACAGCAGGCTGCACTCTTAACGTATCTTGTTCATTCCGCCCGATTCCAGCAATATATTTTACGCCTTGAACAACGTAAAAAACGTTTTTCAGCTGAGGTGCATCATCGTGGTTACCGGTTCCCTGTATGTAAACATTCGAGTAGTAAACATACTAGTCTCAATATATTCAAATATACATCAGTTTAATGTTAATGATTTCTATATATGTTTCGTCGTAGTTAACTAATCAGATCTACTCACCCGATGCCAGCTGTATCCTTCCTACACACACTAACACAACCAATATCCTGACACCCGCCATGTTGAACAACGAGGAAGTAAAAACACCCAGTCAGACTGTTACGTCATTTGCGATCCACTGTGTTATGTTTGTGTAACTCTATGTGTATTCAGCTTTTGAGGTTACGGGGTGAATTCATTTTGCAACACCGCTGGGTTCAGACAGCGGAGTTTCTGCACAGGCGGTTCTATGCATACAGTCAGAGTATTAAACGACACATATCACTGTAATGGGAACAATGTCTCCAGCTTTCATATTCGTCGTCTGTGTAACCCTTCCTCAATAACCTGTACATCCATTTCAGACTGGACAGGGGAGAGGGACAACATAAGAAGTGTTCTATGCACAGACGTAGCGAGACACACGGCTACGGCTTTGATCAATGTAAGAGTACATTCCAGAACAGCTAAGTGGAGTATCAACAGCTCACACTCACTTCATTCTCCTCCTAAGCATGCATGTGACTCACGGACCCGTTGTAAGGGTGACTCCAAATAGAGCTTGCAGGGTAGCGTCCATCTGGGTCACGCTCGGTCAGCCTTGACGACTTATAAGCGCTCGGGAATATTATTTACATGAACTTAAACAGAATACAACATAACTGTTTTGTCTATATATAGCGTGTCGTGTTTTCTTTCATGTGTGGAATTATACCTCTGAGTTGTTACTTTCCCCGTTGTTCATTAAACGCGACATATTTGATTTGGTGGAAGTCGATATGTTATATCTATGATTTTGTGTGATGGCGATTAGAATCCACACCGAGACAGTGGGTTCGAATCCCGAATGGATTCATCTTTCAAAATATACTTGAACCTTTACTTTACTGAGAGAGTGAAATCCCTCGAAACATATGTTACATTTATCCGGCTTCTTAATGGCAATAGGTATTTTCCTTGGTTGACTAAATGCAACCTTCTGTGTCTACTCTGTGTATTGATACTGTTTGAGTGCTGACTAGTCCTTCCGCTAGAATTCTTATGTTATTTTCGATACTGAATGGTCAATCCCATAACACAACATACAGCGCAGTAACATTTACACACCTGTGTTGGCCTTAACACAATATAGGATCTGTTCCTGGACGTTCCTGCTTCTTTCCTTGCGTGGATTTGCAAGAAAATTCAATGTTACTTTTGTATGAGAGTTATACTCACTTCCTGTGGAATGAAATAATTTCTGCTTCAGGAAATGGGTATACTGGCTTTGGAAATAAAATTCTTACAGACATGTAAAATGTACTTCCTGTTTACTGACACCCAGTTAGAAACGAAACATGTAAAAGCAGTTATATTCTGTACTTTATACGTCTGTAGCAATTTAATGTGAATGTCTTGCATGGTTGCACTTAAGTAGAAGTTACGATATCTATATGGCGACGTTTCGGGACTTATCCTGTTACCGCTATCAAGCTTACTAACTAGTCCACATATTTGCTACTTTGTCATTACCCAACTTCTAAAGACGCCTATCATACAATTCACCTCTTGGTGCCAGCTCTCACAGAGAAGTTAGGAATGACATTTCCCCTGAGGTCAGTCCAAACCTTACCACATCAATGTTCACAATGAGCATGATATGTACATAAGATGAACATTTTTTAGACAATTCCAATTCTTCTCAGAAATAACAAAGTAACTCGAAACTTTTCTCAGATAAGAGTCCAAAGACTCAGAAAGGCCACATACCTGTTGTTGATAACTAGGATGTATTGCGTCAGGAAACAGTGGATAAATTAAGAATACTTTGTTGGTAAATTTTTTTCTGTTTACCACCCATGGCTGATAGAACATGGGTTGTACAAATTAATCAGTGAAATAAGAAGTGAAATATTACTTAGGTGGTGAAATACATTAAAACAAAAACATGAGCAAAGCCTATTTGATACTTTCCTTTATGTTTTGCAGTATTTGTATATTTGCAGATCGGAGAGTATCACATCTGCGGACACCGGTGGTCATGGTTTCAGTCCTACTATTTAATGACACCAGCAAGGATACATGTTATGAACTGATCGGATACAACATACGTGTACAACGGGATATTTTCATTTTAATCTTTCCTGCGTAAAGTATTCGTTGCCAGTATTGTCTAGGATATCATTATATGCCCTTCCTTCTGCGGTATTTATCATGCTCGTAGTACAAAATATAAGTGTCAATTATCTGAATTTTCTGTAACATAGATACAGGAAAGCAAATTAGATTCAACGCACGGTAAACACAACATGCGTTAATCATGCAATGATTGTCTTGTTCAGTAGTGACATAAAGCATAAAAATAATAACAAATATAACAATATCATAACAATAACGACAATTCATTAACACTTATTATATGTACAAAATACCAAATGCGAAAGTAAACTAAACATATTTTAATATTATATCATGGTATAACCATATACACTATTCCAGAGTTGTTCTCTGGACAGATCATATTCAGCTTTGTGTACATTAAATGTGGTATGTCATAGTACGCACGAAAAGGATGCACTACTCTCAACTCAGATTTGGTTGTTTTCATACACTTTGTTCTGAATGACATCATAAGGTGACTTCTCGTCTCTCTCCCTGGTGACTTCACTCAGTTCGGTGTAGTCTTGCTCATTTGTTCCAGATGTGTTCGCATGAGCAGGAACCTCTCCAGTGCCACCTGTGTCTGTATTTCTCACACCTGTGCTAGGTGAGGATATCCATTTCAGTCTGAAACAGAGATGTTTGATAGAAATAAGACATGTGACAGTTCTAGAGCCTGAAAATCTGAACTGTTGTATACTCCACAGGGAGCTGAAAATTGAAATCCAGTGCACACTGATCCATTGATAGAAACTGAAAACTTTCCGCTGAACCCGTACCTTTCGTAGACTGTATTAACAGCAATATCCGTGCACACATTATTTTAAAACCGTTTTATATAATTGTTACTGCTTCGTACAAAACCTTTTCAAAAGTTACCTTCCAGATTTCAGCAGACACATCATTAACCCACCAATCAGCAACAGCATTACTACAAGTACTACCGCTCCTCCAATGACACCGCTTGTAACAGGAGACACTGAACCAGATACACAAACGAATTAGTTGTGCGCTTGACATTATTTAATATCACTGACTATAATACGCACATTGCATAATTTATATCAACGTTCTAAAGCAACGGTTTATAAAGACATAAATGAGATTCGAACCTCTAACATCCTCATCACATCGGTCACCAGTGAAGCCGTCCAGACATTCTCCGGGACAGCGTCCATCTCCAACATTACATGTGACGTCACAATATCCACAACGAGTACAATCAGGTCCATAAGTTCCAGGCTTGCATCCTGAAAGTTAACAGTTCCGGTATTAAGTGATGAAGTTATGCTATCAAGAAGTACATTTAAATATGCTTCAGTAATGACATATCTTATCAAATCATTCTGGCTCTTCCACTGAATTCCCACTAATATACAGTAATATACAGCATATGAAACCCTGATGAGAGAGAACACATTTGAAAATACGGTAAAAATACAACGTATACAATTATCATGAGTGTTGCCCGATGCAAAATTTATGGTCTAAAGGAGATTATCGATCAAATGATGGAAATGCTTACAGGCTGTTGTACGCTATTACCACCTTTGTCAGCTTTGATAGAGGCAAGTGATAATTAGCTCTTTCATCAGTAAGTAAGTCCCACATCTAAACAGTGTTTCTGATTGAAATAATAAAACATCAATACTCTACACATACTGGCAGACCTGAGAGACCATGGGCACTGCGTACAAGACCGCACTCTCACCTGGCATTACTCCTTCCTAAGCCGACTCAGCTTGAAATCCTCAGCTTGAAATATCTTTTAAACCATTTCAGAGCTAGTGCTGTATAGACGCATATCAACATCATCTATGCGTTTCTAATTCTTAGAATATTTTTTAAATATGAATTTCTGGAAACATTACTCTGAGTACAGTCTGCTCCAAACCATCTTTCCCGACAACCGGCAGCGCAGGCTCCTGTCACGTGGTCGCAGGAGACTGGTGCAGTTTGGCAATGACGGGAATCACAAGACTTGCTGCAGATAGAACCGTACTTTCCGCTCTGACATGCTTCACGCAAAGAAAGAGAGAGACTGGTCACCGAACAATTACATCTTTGTTTCGTGAGGTTGAAATGTCTTGCAACAAGGTTTTCGATCTACATTCAATCAAGATGATACATACAGAGTCACAATAACAATGTTACTGAATTGTAATGTCATTGACAATTCACTCAGTATATAACATACAATTGGCATTTCGCATTACATAACTTACGCATTTGCACATGACAAAATAGCAGCACGTGTCATCTCTGCCAACTCTATTTCAACTCGATATGTATATCGGCAACAGTTCATTAGCATTCGGCATTACATATACGATATATATCTTGCATAACAGTAGAAATAGGTGCACTATGAAAATAATTCTAAGTCTTAGTCTCACGTATAATGCAGTCATCATTCTGCCATCCTTCCCGGCATCCGTCTGGGCACGATCCAGTGACGTCACACACAGATGATGGCGTTTAACAGTTGCGGGAACTGCAGAACTCTGTACATCCTGGTCCATACCTTCCAGGAGGACAGTTGACAGGCACTGTAAAATGTAAACATAGAAATGTAGTTTCGCTTAAATTTCCACCCTTTGAGAATTATTATAACTATTACAATATACTCCAGCAAATACAAAAAGAATACCCCTCCAAATGAGAAAATCACCCTTGGCATTCAAATATAAACCATGACATGGTGATATAATGTACGCATTACGTTATTAGATAGGATAAGTTTCATGACTTACAGTATGTTCATGGCACTATTGTTTTGCTTCATGTGAACACTGAACTTGGGTTTGCATGTGTTTGTGCCATAACACCTCATCATTTCTCGAACGCGGTGTGTGATCACTATTACATAGTTATTCATAAATACATGCTCAGTCGTAAAGTCGACACAAGGGAAATGATAAACCCGAGTTACGTATGAAAATGGGTTTATCATTTCCCTTTTGTGCAGTGATCTACTGTTTAGAGTATTGTTGGAGAGTCTTTGAGCAACATAATTATGGACTATGACCAAACGTTGTTCATAACCTGACATGACATACACCCTGGACATATGTGGTCATGTTTTATGTTTCACGTTAATTATATTTCACCAACAATTACTTTAGTGATTGAATGATAATTCGTCGCGTTATTACAAAAGTAAAAGGGAAAAGTTTCTTGTAAGGCTACCACACTTTGGATAATGCCTGACTGATCATGACACACACTCTGACTTAATCCATCTCGAAAGGTGTTCGTGTTCTCCTTCCTTATTTGCTTGTTGTATTATAAAGCATCCATAATGATGAGCATTGTTATTCAAAACTTTCATCCATTAACCAAGCCTTTTAGCCTTAATATTTAAATTTACTTTTAAAAATGTAACAATACAAGTAGTCCTGTTCTGGACCTCATGAGCGAACACATTCTGATTTGTTCTTGAAGACATTTGTCAATCAAACCTGTCGCCGAAGGGATATGTATTCCACTACTATTGGTTACAGATGAAAAGGTATTTCAGCTTGAAATGTATACTGCACATTTTATTTAAAACCGTTAGATGACCTAACTAGTAATATGTGAGTGAGTGAGTGAATTAAAGATTTACGTCACATCGGCAATATTCAGCCATATCGTTTATTAATTAAAACTAGTTTGAGCATCAGTAACATATGACATAATATCATAACCTGTACAGTCACCCTGTGTCCATCCCGTCTCACATCCACTGTCACAGGTTCCTGTTGAGTGACAGGAAGAGTTCCCTGCACATTGTCTGGAGGAGCATACACCACGACAGTCAGGTCAATAATGATTGGAATCGCAAGCTGAAATACGACAGCACGGTTTCCATATTGTAATTTACCATAAGGTGTACCGTACATATTCTGAAGAAAGTCTTTGGCTCAAACTTTAATTCTTATTATCTTACTAATAATTACGATTCATTTTAATGACTGACCTTCTTTACAATCAACACCCATCCATCCAGCTTTACATCCAGAATCACATGATCACATGATGAATTTCCGGCACAGTGTCTTTCAGAGCAAAGACTAGTACAATTTTCGCCGTACTTTCCATTGGCACATTCTGTGAGAAAGAACGGTAGAGGTTAGAGCGCATTCACGGCTGCATGTGCATTGACGCTCTTCATGGTAAGTTCCTTTAACAATAACTGATATATTTTGTTTCAAGTTGCAAATGATTCTTGGGCCGTTCCATACCGATAAACTGTCAACATTCCTTGCCTTGTGTGCAGTCAACCCCTATCCAATCAGGAAGACATTCTGTGTCACATGCTCCAGTGTGCCGGTCACATGACGAACTTGGAAGTGAACACTTCCGCCCAGGACACGTTTTCTTGCAGTTAGTGCCATACGCAGTGCTGTTGCAAGTTTTAAAATATGGACAAGAAGTAAAACATTCATTCGTAAATAAGGTTGAAAGGCTTTTGACTTGTGAAGCACTCTTGGTAATCGGTTCAACAAAGTGTATGGAACGGGTCAGTAGATATTGTTGATGCACCTGAAAACTTACCAACAGTAAGACCTCAACAACCACGGCCTTTTGTTAAATGTTCATCAATCATGTGATTTAATTCTTAGCAGTGATTTAATGGGGCTTTCAATGCATTAGGTAAAGTGTTCATAAGAAAGTGGACATTTTTTTAGAAAATGGTTATTTCACACTCACTTACCAATAGGTCTTTTCCAGTACTTACCCTCTTTACAGTCAACACCCATCCATCCAGCTTTACATCCTGAATCACATGACCCAGTCACATGGTCACATGATGAATTTCCTGCACAGTGTCTCTCGGTACAAAGACTAGTACAGTTTCGCCGTACTTGCCCCTGGAACATCCTGTAATAAAGACATCATGAGCTTACAATGTGCTTGATAGTTATATCTACATACACTGATGTTTTTTCTGTTAACCATGTGTGGCAGGCTTCTTTTTTGAATAACTTGCAAGGTATAGCTGATGCATTTGAGCTGCCTTCTTTCTCTGCCTGCCATGCAACTGTGTATTTAATTTGTCCAGTTGCACGTTACCTTGTGTGCAGTCAAAGTCCATCCAACCAGGAAGACATCCTGTGTCACATGCTCCAGTGCGACGGTCGCATGACGAATTTGGAGATGAACACCTCCGTTCAGCACACGTTTTCTTGCAGTTAGTACCATACGTGGTGCTGTTGCAAGCTGTAAAATATGGGCAAGAAGTAAAATATTCATTCGTAAATAATGTTGAAAGCAAGCTGTAAAATATAGACAAGCAGGAGATTTAGCATTCATTAAAATAAGTAGGCTTTTGTTTCACCAAGTTGGTTTATCAAAGCGAATGAAACGAGTCAGTAGGTCCGAGTTGATGCACCACTAGCATGGAGCCGACAGTAAGATCTCCAGAACGATCGCCTCTTGTTATACCTTTGCATTAACAATGACGAACTTAAGATGACAGTCAACAAGCCATGTAAAGGCATCTACAGCCACAAATACCACTGACTGGGACACACAATACTGGCAGTAACATTTTCTCACCAGTATCACATCTCTGTCCCTGCCACCCTGGTCTACAGTTTCCTCTACAGTTTCCATGACAGAATCCAGTCAAGCGATCACAGGTTGAATCCAGGCAGTGACAGAACGTATTACACTTCACTCCGTAGATTCCTGGGCTGCAAGCTGGTGCATTATTAACACAAGATAAGTACATACAAACAAGCCCATATATCAAGGGTAACTTGTAGGCATAAATGGAATGGAAATTGTGGAAATATGGAATCGATGAATTGCCGACATTATGCAATTTACATGATTTGATCAGTGATTGCTCTGTAGTTCTATGGATTGATAGTTGATAGGAATGGACAGTATGCAACGCAGTACATGTACACATCGAATTCGACCATTTGTCGAGTATTTTATGTTATGTATAGACATTGCTTCATAGCTACAGAACGGAGGGAGTCTGAAAACAATATCGTTTTTGTTCACAGTTAAATGACTAAGACGCTGATGCTCGAGACACCATGTTTATCCTTACAAATAGAGTCTAAATATGTTACTAAATGGGCCACGCTAAATGGTCAAGTGCATTTGCCTACTGTTTCCATCTCAGCACCAGAACCAAAGTGTGATTTCCATAACAAATTAGGAGCTGTCAACGTGGCAACCAAATAGATAAAACATTATGGCGAGAACGGAGTCATGTTTCTCTGTTTGGTAATGATGTCGGATGCAGTTCCCTATTTTGGTGTATACCACATTTTCCCGCAATTATTTCAGCTGAACAACTGTCTTGATGTTTATGACGGTGCCACCAGTGGGGCAGGATACGCTCACCTTCTGCAAACACCTGGTATCATCACTATGTCATAGCGATTAATAAACACATGCTCTGTCATTGTAGTGCATGGTGACAAATCACTGGACTGTATGGCCCAGACTCGATTTATTTACAAACAACATCATACAACTATAATACTGCTGAAACAAGTATACTGTATATTCATGTTATAGTCACAAATGTAAAATAGACTCTTCTTTCAGCAGAGAGTTCTTATGGATGTGGAAAGGGTTTTGTCGCGTCTATTTTACAAAAATGAGTACACTGAGTCAACACTGTCACACTTTCACAATGTATTTGATAATGCTTCTCAAATACTGTGACAAAGTTCTGGCACAAACCTTACAAAGACTGGGGAAGAGTCGTGAAACACACGAATAGACAAATACTTGTAAATACAATGAATGAATGTTTACCATAGATCTCCACCTCACAAATGTTCAGTGCACTAGCATAGCCATCGTTTCCTCCTGTCCCTTGGACTAACATGTTAGTTTTATATCTCTATCTATGTTAACCTAGTTCTTTTACTGTCCTTTGTCAACAAGTTTTAAGGAATAAATTTATTATTATTGATGTATATCTTGCTTAAGTCACGGTATGGATGAAATATTGTCGATGTTACTCTAAATCTCAACTCACTCATATCGAGTGTGCATAGGTTCATCTCTTAACTAAATTATTATCTCTTAACTAAATTATTATCTCTTAACTAAATCATACTGAATAAACCCGGAGATGTGGAGAGTTTTCAATATTTGTTTTGAATCTAGTTTCAGCTGTTTAAAGCGTCCAGTTATTAAACACGGGGTAGTACCAGCTAATTGTATTAATAGAGCGGGATCTTCTGCGAGAAAGTAACAATATAAGTTTTGAAGCATGCATATCGCATGTATTTTTAATGGAACAAATAGAAACAATCATTTCAAATACCCAGCTATATGAATGTAAAAAAACCTTTCAACGCTGCCACACTCCCAAAATAAGGAATGTATCCTGGAACGGAATTTACAACGACTTTGCTGTTGAAGGGCAATAAAACACACATGCATCACCAGTACCCGATTCACAATTACCAAATTACTAATAAATAAAATAAATAAAATTAATGATTTACCATAGATCTCCACCTCACAGATGTTGAGTGCATAATTGTCTCCAGGCCCTATCCACGGGTTCCTGATGGTGACGTATCTGCCGATACCGTTAAACGTCAAGTCAGTTGGGTTGGGGGTTGAACTCGGGATGGTGGAACAGATGCTGGAGGTGTCGTTGTTCAGATAGATGTTGGAGTTGGCATTACTCCAGTAGACTTGAGTGAAACATATACTGTTTCAGACTGCGTTACACTATTACACTGTGTTTATATAGCTTATGTTAACCTATATATCAGATCACAAAATTATGTTCATGCAATGGACTAATGCATGAGAGGAGACGCACCCAATCCAACAATATGTGCATTCGAGCAGAGGCTGTTTAGACTGATTACACCCAAACTCGTTTGTTTGCAAATCGTAACGGCACGAAGTTCAAAAATCATCTGAATGTACATGTGCACATGATCACTCTCAATATTTGATTCTTTCACTGATCCCGACATATGTAGTTATAGTCAACGGTACAAATTCTTAAGTTGTTCATACAGTACAACCAGAAATTATTGAGAAGTTAAAGATTGTACTTTTTCAATTTTTTTCACTCATTACTCACGTATTAAATGTGAATATTAGCAGAACATAACTCCAGATTCAAAGACAGGTGAACAGTTAGTACTTTGTCAAGTCACCATGGGCAGCAATGCAGGCTTCAATGCGGCGGGGCATACTACTGATCAAAGAAGTTAGAAAGTCGTGGTCCATGCTGTCCCAATATCGGACCACCTCTCCTTTCATTTCAGCAATATTTGTCAGATTTTTCTTATTGACACTTTCCTTCATAAGTCCAAAAACATTTTCTAATGGATTTAAGTCAGTGCTATAGCTTTGCCAATCTAATAATGTAATAGTTTGGGTCCGAAACCAGGCCTGTGAATGCTTTGAACGATGTTTTGGGTCGTTGTCCTGCTGGAAAATCCAAAACTGTCCATAGAACACGTGAGCAGATGGAAGTAAATGTCCCTCGAGAATATCTGTGTATCGCTCACTGTTCATATTCCCTTCAAATACACAGAGGGGCGTTGCCCCTAACACAGATATGCCACCCCACACATTCAATTTCGGACTGTACTTTGGGCGCTGATACAAAGGTTTTTCAGTTTGTTTGGTCCAGAATGTCAGTGTATTAGGAAACAGCCACACAGAACTTTCATCTGAGAAAATCACATTGTCCAGTTAAAATTTCTATGCTGTAAGCACCAGTTCAACCTTCGCTCCTTTTGTTCAGGTTTTATGATCGGTGATGGAATTCCTCGACTTTTCTGCCAACCCATTGCATACAGCTCAGTTCCAATTGTCTCCTTACAGACAGCCACAGTTCCTCTTTCAATCATATCCAGCCTTAAGTTTTCTAAACTCCTTCGTTTGTTTTTAGAAACAAGAATACGAAGCCGCCTCCTGTTACCGACAGTCAATTTTCTGGGCCTCCCTGGTGCTCAATACCATATCCATTTGCAATATTTTTCAAAACAGGATAAACATTGGACAAAGGGATGCCTGTTCTACTTGAAATCACTTAAGCTGATCTGATGTCCTTGTTATAATACTCTAAAATCAACTTCCTCTTCTCTCAATCATCCATACTGAGGATCACTAAAAACGCCGTCTGCTAGCAAGTAAACAAAGGGGGATAACTCTTCACAAACTAATGAAAAAGGATTAACGGAGTTATCTCTCTTGAATGAAACCAAGCACTTGATAGCTGGTCAAGGATGTTTATACTAGAAGTCCAACTAAACATATTCCTAAAATTCTCAATAATTTCTGGTCATACTATACGTTCTTCTAACAATAAGACCCACTACTGCTGTTATTGAACTTCCCTTACAGCAGACCGCCTCCGTGGTGTAGTGTTTTGGGCGTCTGCCCAGAGGGCGGAAGGTCGCGGGTTCGATCCAAGGCCGCGTCTTACCAAGAGACGCCAAAATATGGTACAATATACCTGGCGCTCAGCATTAATGGATACAACAAGAACTGGTCATGTCGGAGTCAGTATGATATGTCTGAGCGGGGTATTCATTGTTAACTTCGGCATGATATATCAGTGAGCCTGCACTATAAACCAGCGTAAGTATGGGCTAGTACAAGCAGCCACACATACACACGCACCTCACCTCACCCATTACATCAGCGGAATGGCCCTGTTTACTTTCAATGTGTAAATAGCTTATAAAACAGAATAGAAATAATAGGCTTGCTAGAAATAAGTACAGGTATCACACGTTGAGATATATCAGGTCATGGGGCGTTACTGTTATTGCTATAGTTTGATCATCGGCGTATAGTAAAATTGTCTCCTCAGATAGAGCAATACCAGTCTATTGCACATATCTGGGTTTCCGTCTCCCTTTGTCCATCACATATTTGTTGTTTAGAAACTTGAGGTGGATTTACTTCTAAGCCGATTCACTGATGTGGAGTGTTGAAATAGGTTGATAAATATGTTGTCAGCAGAACACTTGTTGAAGAATTACGTGATTGCTAAATTGTTACTTTTTCATGTGTTTGATGTACTATAGTGAAAAACTAGACTTCAGTAATGTGTCTAAGGTGAGTCTAAGGTGATACATAACAATCTAAATAGCATCGTTCTCTCTTAGATCACGAAGCCTGGATACCTACATCCACGTCTGCTGTAGATCCTGATGTCGTACAGCTGGAAGTCCCGGCCCAGATCCACTGTCCAGTAGTGGTGTAACGATTCATCGATAGTATCGATGTTTGCATCGTCAACTACGCGATACGAGTGCATCGATACAAAACATGTTTAGGCAATATATCAGGATATTTATATCGCGAGGGTCCATGATACATCGATGTATCGCCACAAGAGACGATATATCCCGATACTACTTAAATATTACTTAAAGTTGTAGGGAGTATTGCATAAGTAATAGGAAGGGAGTCTCTTTGAATTTTTTCTGAATTTTAAAAACAAACTGAACCTAAAAGACATTTGTTTGTGTCTGCCATCGTTGTTACATAAACAAAGGAGTAAGTGTATCAGTGAAAGCATGTGAACAATCTCTGTGAACTGTAAAGACTTGTCTTTAAGTAATTGAAACATGTTTTAGTTGTTTGACAAACACCATTTATTAACAACTATGAACGATGTCTTAGCTTTGTTAAGAAAGAGAAGATAAACTTTAGAAAGCATACTTATGAGTTTTGTGCAGTGATTCTGGTATAAATTACTGTATAAATTGCCTGTGCAAGCATTGGTGCAGAAACACAACTTTCCAAGGGAAACCTAGAGCAAGGTGTACTGAATATGTTTGATTGTACTTTCTTAAGCATTAAATGCTGAAACTTTATTACATGAACAGCCTTTTAAGTGTGTGTGAATGTAACACATGTTGTGATGAATAACAAATGAAGATTCAGTCATTTTATCTATCATATATGTCCTGTTTTTAGGATTGTAAAGTATCGGGATAAGTATCGTATCGCCATCACTGTATCGTGATGATAATCGTCTCGCAGGTTCCTTGCCAATACTTTCATGATATATCGTCTCGCCTCATTAAACTAGTATCGGGATATATCGTCTCGCCACTTAGGCCACGATACACAGCTCTACTGTCCAGTCTGACGGAGATCTAAAAGCGTGGAAACAGGTTCTACCCTCACCACGTATGTCACTGTCTCCGTCCACAGCCTTTGACGGGTACCAGTATCCATACATTCCAGATGTTGTTGATACTGTCTTGCTCAGTGCAATGTTTTCTATAAAAACAAGCATTATGTCTTTGTACACTTCAGATGTTGCTGATGCTGTCTTGTTTAGGGCAATATTTTCTGTGAAGTACAACAATAATGTTACGTCACTGCCCCCATCTATAGCCTCAATACGCTCAAGATGTTGCTCTCGTCGTCTGTGCAATGTAGGACAATAATCATGTCCTCACAAAATTCCATACATTCCCAATACATGTATGTGAAAAGGTTAACATGGGTTTAAATGCATGGTGATATTCGGATTCTAGTTAATAGTCTAATGTCAATCACAACCCTACAACCTTTATGTTGTATTACAAATGTCATATATGGTGTGAGTTAAGGGATCATCATTCAATTTATAATGATTTGTACCAAGATGCTGTTTTCACACCGACCAAAGCAGAATATTAAACACATCAAAATCAAAGCCAGTGTATGTGTCACTCACGTTTCTGGCAAAGACCGACTTCCTTTCTCCATCCCGGATCACAAGAACCAGAACAGGCACCTGTAGTCTCGTCACATGATGTCCCGCAGTGACAGGAGTAGCTACAGGAGTCTCCAAACCATCCTGGTTGACAGGAACCTGTGGGGAGACACAGAGATGTGCGATTCAATGCGATTACACGTCTGTTTATCATCAACTTGAGTGAGTGAGTGAGTGAGTTAAGGATTTAAGGCACATCGGCAGTATTTCAGCCATATCGTGACTAAATCAAGTTATCGAAATATAAAATTAAAGGTAAATCATACAAACAAGTCAACTAAGGACAGGAAAACAACTAGATTATCACAGATATAAATTTTAAGACTAGTAATTACATTTAAACCATTTTAACTTCACATGACAAGACAATATAAAAACAGACTATATATTGCCAACAACTGAAGGTAGATCACCATACTAGGGACCATCATTCTGCCTCCTGCATGGACCCCAGCTGGATTTACATCATCCCTCAGTTGTTAGCTATTGTAGGCAAGTCTAGTCATATCAACTTTAGTCCCTGCAATGATTGTGTCCTGGACCATTTCAAGCTTTATCATTTGCATCATTTGTATGCCATCAAACTTTGAGTCCTTTTATCGCCCAATCGCGATGATATCCCAATACCCTCAACAAGGAAGTGAAATACCTACAACGTAGACGTTTGATCACTAAATATGTATTAACCCCGCCCAATGTACCGCTTTGAAGTGTTCAACTTTGGAACAAATATCGAGGAGAGATTCAGCTTCAGTGGGCTTCGGATGAGGAAGGAGAGCTACATTCGCAGCATCCATTGGGTAAGCGAACCAGTATCAGTGACACAAGCAAAACAAACTGTGTATTTACTTTATATGGTTTCATAACCTTTGCTTCAACAAAATGGTAGTTCAAGTGCATGTTTACCTCATGTGATCTGGCATGTGGGATGACCAGGGCCCCGAAATAAGGCTGCAATAACCAAGGGATAGGACAGGGACAGGACCCAGGAGTAGGGAGGACAGAGCCGCAGGATAGGGGTGTTATGAAAGTTGGGTAGGAATAACTGGACAGCAGGTTAGGAATGTTAGGAGCATGGGGTAAGGATAAGATGATCTGGGGACATTGGTAATAGGACCACACCGTAGGGGTATAACCACACTTAGGTCTGGGACCCAATGTACGATAAGATGAGGAAGGGAAAGGGATAATAGGGCTCTGGGGTAGAATTAACAGAATCCAGATGTAGAGATGACAGGACCCGGGGATAAGTATTGCAGAAAGCTTTGTTTGGGATGTCAGGCAAACCTGGGACAAGGCTCGGGCAAATTTAATACATTTGATACATCCTTAGAGTAGTGGTCATAGAATAACTGGTTAGGGATGACCAACCACGGTGATTGGGGAATATAGGGTTGCTTTGGACGGGATAACAGAACCGGGTGGTAGGGAATATTACATATGGCCATTACATCATTACGGTGGGCGAGCTGTCTAAGGCTCCAGGCTAGTAATCCAGCGAGCTTGGAGATGACGGGATCGAGCCCATTTGTGACCGGGTGTAAAAACCTTGGAGTCAACGTTGTGTGCAGACTCTTGTCACAACCCCAACTTTTGTCACAACCCCTAGTGTACAATACACAACCCTGTGCACTTAAAAGAACCCATGAATCCGTTGGTAGATGACCAGATGGTGGCCACATGAACACGTGCAAACACCTAGTTGTGGGTACAGCAACGTGCAGTAAACTTGGACAAGGTACTATGACTATGTGTTCTTGTCCACCCAGCTGTAAATGGATACCTCTTTAGGATGGGAAAGCCACATTAACTTGATGCGCCTAGTATTCAGCAAGAGTTGTATGATCCCAAGGGAGTTGAGATTGAAAATACGAAGTGCCGTTGTGATGGACATCGAATGATCGAGGAAAACAGAGCGCCTTTGAGCAGTTGAACTGGATATCGGCGCTATACAAATGTTAGTATAATAATAATTACATTAATTTATACAAGCATACATGTAAGTCCGACTAATTTGCGTTAATCAGATATGAAAAGATTTGGTCATCCGTCATTATACGTTTACCCTTTCACAGTATAGTTGGGTTACAGTGTGTGAGTCAAGCAGTGGAGTAAACCTTGTTTGTTGTTAGTAACCTGGACATTCAGTGACTAGTTCCGAAGCGACAAGAATTTCTGGAGTGTGGTAGGTGTCTTACTGATTTGTGGCTGACAGTTTTCCTGCTACATAGAGATTTTATAAGATAGGCAATATCCTTGCTTTGGCCAAGGACTAAGTCTGTTGCCTGCCCCACTGGTGGGGCTAGGTGACCTCGACATTGTTAATTGCTGAACATAAGAGATAAATAGGACTGCAGTTTTCACCAGGTATTGTGGCGATCCTATTAAGTACGTTCAGCCTGATAAGCAGCAACACAAGCGACACAGACATTACCCAAATTATATGTCTCTGATGTTTACGAATTACATAAACTCGCATACATAAACATGATAAATGAATTATTTTGTGTTTCTCATGTGGTTTTAATGTGTGGATCAAAGGACAATGTAGTCTCTGAGATGAAAAGGTAATTTCGTAAATTATCTGTTAAAGTATAAAAGTCGTACAGCCTCCTACAGCAAACTACTCCGTAGCCCGTTTCTCGGTTTGCATATGTTTCTCGGCTAACATCACTGGTGGAAACATTACGTTTATGTTTTTCGACGGATATAATATCTCAGTTGGACTCACAATTAAACAGCGACACGACAACGTTCTCAAAGTTTACAGTCCCACAATGCATCCATGCAAGCGCTGATCTAAACTTACGTTGGTAGTAGAAATGCGACGTTCATATTTCCCCATATGGTTTACGTTAATCACAGATGTAATTAAAATAATTTAGAGAAGATATTTAACCCTAACGTCAAACTGTTTATCATTTGTTTTCTTGGTAACGTGCGTCTTTACGTAGGCGGCAGTCACGTCAATTCAACATCACGTTAGTTAGCCCTGAGCGAGGATCATTTATTTAGGTCACAGACACCGTCGTTTTTCTGTTTGTTTTGTGAGTTAGATTGATCGTAATTAACGTTAAAAAGTATCAAATTTGGCATCTTAGCAAGCGTCCTCGTAGTTTTACTATAATAGTTCAGGGTAAAAGTGTACTTTATTGCACTATACATGGGGGTAGAGCGAACCGTTTTTCTTAATTTTCACACTGAAGAAATCTAGACTTGCAGACATGCTTGGGATTTACTTTGGTATCAAAAAGCGAGTCTGAGCGTGTTATTGTGGGTGTTATTGATGGGTTCGACATATATAACATTCTTCTTGGGCCGGGTGGAATTTGGAGGTTGAAGAACGTATTACGTAAGCAACGTGAGTCCACGATGTGAGAACCGGTAGACAGCATGCAATCAAACTGGAGAGTGTCTTTCACTGACTGACATCAAACTTGACATTGTCTTTCACTGCCGGGCATCAAACTGGACAGTGTCTTTCACTGACTGGCATCAAACTGGACAGTGTCTTTCACTGACTGGCATCAAACTGGACAGTGTCTTTCACTGACTGGCATCAAGCTGGCATCAAACACTCATTCATGGAATGAGTAGCTGAGTGGGTCAGATATCGCTGACATTGTGGGCCGGCGATTAGGTGCCTGACTCTAAGAGTCTGGGTATTGTGGTGTTACCGCTCAGTGTGTCCCCACTAAGGGTCATAATGTTGAACAGACAACTGCACGCATTCAAAGCTCCCACACTTTACTTGAATGAACATTCGGTCTGCCCATGCGCAGATACTTTTCCGCTGCTATTTAAATAGCCAGACAATACAACATAAACCGGGCCATACCGGACAAAAAGCAGAAACACTACAGGTATGAGTGTTGAAGATTAATGTATCAATTACTTATATTATGCTCGTCACGATTAGAATAGAATGCATATGCAACAAATCGAAATTGACGATCCTAATTATCCTCGTTTCATAATTATTAGTCACACCTTCAAAACAGAACGTATGCAAATCCTTCATGAACTCACTCTAAATTTCCTTGAGATTGTCAGGTACTGGCAAATGTGAGCAAACGTTCATATGTTCACGTTACGCTAGCCTTATAGAATAGTTGCGTCATGTTGACCAGCCAAATGTACGCGTTGCCAAGGCACATTAGCTTAGTGACCATTACTTGAGTGTCTAAACCGAACATAATACAAGGAACCTCTATTATGTGTGATAGAAGAAGAGACTTTGCAACTGAAGGCATCCTTACTTGCTAAACTATTAGGCCTTGCATTTTATGTAATCTTTTTTGTCGTTATACTAAGGTATAATGATCAATGACGACTAGAGTAGGAAATGAGTTGCAACCATATGATCCCCTTCCGTGATTGAAATGTACATTTGTACCGAAAATAGTACATTCATTGATTTTCAAAGATTAGCCGAAGTACAAATAGCCACTGCCTGTGTCATGTCATGTTCACGATACATTGTGATGAGAGAATAACAGTCAAGCATGTCCTGTTTGACTGTGTTGATTTTACCATTACAAGGGATAAGTATTTCAATATTGAAACTGTTAAGGATCTATTTATAACTGTTAATTTTCATTTAAAGGTCACATGCAACGTAAAACACAACTTTGCAGATTCCGATACCTTTCGGTATGGACTTACCAAAACAAATCATCAAAAATGCAAATTCAACTTATAAAGTTGAAAAATAACGCGATGAAAAAAAACGCGCGAAATCGGGGTTCAAACGTTTCACTAATTTCCCCCACGACTTTTCTGGGGAAAACGGGTTTCAACAGCTGGACTGCGCTCATAGCACGTGCGCAAGTAAATAGGTTCGCGCAGCTTGGAAGCGGGTTGTCGGGTGAATACTCGGTGAAGGTTTTGGTGTGAGCTATTTTTCTAATGTTTTGTTGATATCTCACAGGCGCGAGCTTTTTATATGTTATGACAGTAAATTAACTGTTTATATCATTTCATTTGTCTATTTCACCACACGTTCTTCTTACCGAGACACTTTCTCAGTTCGATACTTTAAAGCAATGTCATTATTTAGCGTTGACAGAATTTCTAACTGTGATATAGATATGTCGTTGTCACAGACAAAACTCAGTGTCTTGTTTTATTGACACCTGTGTGTCTGCCTGCCTGTCTGCTAATGACAATATTCAATACACAACTGCGATCACTGACCACATGCAATTTGAACTTAACACCAATCAGGCTATACACCATAAACAAAATGCATTGATTTATGGCCCGAGTTCGGTCTCTGTCACATTATGTCATTACACAGACAGGCAGGTGTGATACTTGAACACATGACATGTTATGATGTCTGTTGATTGCAAAATGTTATACACAAAAAATGAGCATGTATTTACAAAACCAACATCTCTATATACACACACACAATGAGCCGTGCATGAGGGCGGCATCTGCAAATGAACCAGCCGTTACACTTGAGTGCACACCCACCCGCTCTGACTGGGTTCGGTATCCCGGCTGCTTCGTTTCGAGGGAGGTAAACCCAAGTACAAAATATTGCACTTTTGATTTGCGATTATACGCTTATAATTTTGTTTATTTGTTTTTTCATAATCAGCAATGCATATTATATGTCATGAAGAAGTGATAATTGTGTTTTAATTATGTTTGATTTTTTGGTTGCATGTGACCTTTAAGTATCGGTGTCTTGGAAATTGATTTAATTCTGCTTAATATGTTTTGTGGATAGACGTATTTTAATAATTGGTAATATATATTAGTAACTTAGATTGTTAGTGGCTGTATCCTCGGGTGTGTGTGTGTGTGGGGGGGGGGAGTATTGTAAAATTATTGAGTGAGTGAGTGAGCCATATTGTGACTTAAGAAGTTTGTAAATTAACAATAAGTACAATTAAACTATAAATCACCCGTCGACGAAGGACAGTAAAATAACTAGATGATCACAGGAATACATTTAAGACTAGTAATTAAATCTAAAATATTTTACCTATAACTGACATTACAATATAAAAACAGGCTATAGATTGCCAACAACTGAAGGTAGATCACCATACTAGGGACCATACTAGGGACCACAGTACATTTGCTTCCTTCATGGGCCGTAGCTGGATTTACACCATCCCTTAAGCTGTTAGAAATTTAGATACATCTAGCCATACATTGAAAATACACATTTTCTACGATTGAAAAAAGTGGAAAGTTGAAATTAACATTGAATGTTTTGGGACTTACGTACCCGCGAGGATACAGCCACTAACAACCTGAGTAACTAATTGAAACTTCCAATCATAAAATATTTATCTATTTACAAATCATTTAACAACTCTAATTCTTTTAAAAATACAATATTTAAGTGAGAACTGATTTTATTCAAAAGATCCTTCATAGTTCGTGATTTAAAAAAGATATCCCTGTTGATGGAATATTCAACAGAGTCAAGCAAGGCATGCTTGACAGTACTTCTTTCGTCACAAGGGATATCCATGAGTATATCGTGTGTGTCGCATTATGACCTCTTCAAATATGGATTGACAACCCAAGTAGGTATAACCAATATAAGGTTTTATTGCATGTAATTTATTTATACCTACTTGGGTGTCTCACTTCTTCTGCATCAGATCACGGATATAAGATCGATTGGTAGCTTTATAATCAGAGTATGGAATAAGAAGTGGTGTCACAGATTTGTTGAGTGCTGCCTTAGCAGCAAGATCAGCCATTGTGTTACCTGAAATGCCAACGCGGTTGGGTAACTAACAGAAGACGACGTCGTTTGGCCAGTTGCAAGATCATTATATAGTTCAATAATTTCTATTAAAAGTGGATGCTTACACGGTAGGTTTTTAATAGCCTGAAGGGAAGATAGAGAGTCTGAATAGATTATGTATTTTTTATGTTAAGGGTGTCTTTGAATATATTTAAGAGCCGTTAATATGGCGTTTGCTTCTATTTAAAATAGATCAACGAATATCGATACAGCGTGTTGTTTATTTACTATAGCATTTTTGACAAAGGATTCCAAACGTACCAAATGATCAATGGTACTACGATTTTCCCTGAAACCACATTGAATATTGGTTACAAGGTTATTGGTTTCAAGATACCATGTTAATCTATTGTTGACCATTCGTTCCATGGTTTTACAGACACAACTCGTGAAAGGATTGGTCTGTAATTAGACGGATCAGTATGATAGGGACTACAACGGCAGTACGCCACGAAGTTGGGAAATTCCCTGAAGTCCATATTTGATCAAAGATTTCTAAAAGGATTTCTAAACATGATTCCGGCAAATATTTCAAAAGCTGATAGTGAATATTATCAGCTCCTGTTGCTGTATCATGAGCTTGCTCAAGGGCGGTATGGAGCTCATGGAACTAAACTAGTTAAAATTTACTCTTTTCTTCTCCTGTTGTTTCTGATACTTTTGAAACTCTTATTTTGTTTAAAAGAACGTCTAGCCTTAGCATTAGTAATTTTGACCTTGTCTAGATTATGGAGTGAGGAGTGAGTTATTATTTAACGTCACATCGGCAATATTTCAGCCATATCGTGACGAGAGCACTTGACATTGAAATAGAATATATATAGAGATTGTAAAACCTGCCAACAAAGGACATTAAAGCAACTAGAATATCACAGATATATATGTAAAACTAGTAATGGAATCTAAAACATTTTAACTATAGGGGACAACACAATATAAAATTGGGCTATGGATCGCCAACAACTGAAGGTAGATCACCATACTAGGAGCCATGGGGACTTACATTTCTTTTGCTACCTGCATGGACCCTAGTTGGATTTACACCATCCCCTAGATTATGGACAGTAGGGTGCTTGCGAAAATATTTTTCGGCCTTTTTCCTACATTTTATGGCCTGTTTGCATTCATTATTAATAAACCATGGTTTACGAATATGTGGAATTGCAGAAGACTTAGGAATTGTTTTGTCAGCAAAGTATTTTAGTATATCCGAAAACGGCTGTATAGGATCTTTACTGTTCCTAAAAAGATCATGCTTCAAGTGTTCAACACACAGGTACTCATATAAATGACCAATCAGCCCTCGCGAAATTTCTCCTTGATAAAGGTGGATCATCGCCAGGGCTGATTGTTTTGAGAATGGTAGGGAAGTGGTCACTCCCACATAGGTCATCATTGACCAACCTTTCAAATTCATTATACCAGTTTGAGTCAGCGAGAGACAGAACCAGGGAAGAATATGTTCCCGTAGCTGAAGATAAGTGGCTGAATCATCATTCAAAATACATAAATTATTATCGGAAATGAATTCCTCAATAATTTACCTTTAGTATTAGTATGGACACTACCCTCAAAGCGGGGGATTGCCCATGATGAGACATGGCTTTGGCAGCTGATCATACACCTACTGCAGATCCGACAGTCGGATATCAGAAGATGGAGGGACATATAAACTGCACAACGTCAACGCAATGTGCATAGTCAGACGAACAGCTTGGAGATTGGTATTAAGAGGGACAGGGCTATGTACGATGCCCTGCTGTACCAAAACAGAAGCACCAACAGTTGCTTTATCTTCTGGCGGAGAGAAGCAGTGTATTGTCGTAAATTGAATGAGTCCGTATTTTATATATATGTCCCCCTGAACACAAAATACTGAAGGTTTAAAATCCAGTAATAACAATTGTATCTCATTTAAGTAATTCTTCAGCCCTCTGCAATTCCATTGAATTAAATTGGCCAGCTGAGTCATGGTGGCTCAATTGGCGATTTCTCTCGTGAATGTGAGGGGGAGCTGTTCCTCCTCCTGTCCTGCACGGACAGAATTACCTCCATATCCAGAGGCCCAAATGGGCTCTGTAAAGGAACCTCTGATGGTGAAGGGACGGGTAATTGTTTTTCTTTCCTTTCGTTTTGGTCAATTGATTTACTACTGGTTGTTTGACAGAGGTTCCTGATTTTGCCGTAACCTGGTTCTCTGTCTTCGATGCAGACGTTGACTGAATAGCTTGAGAAGGGAGTGTGGTTGATTTTGAAGCAAGGGGCTTCTCTAACTTGACCCATATCAAGTCAGTTTGACAAGAAATAGTTGATGTTGCCACAGATCGAGAAACTGCAGCAGAATTGGTTATGGTTGATGGAGGTGCTGGCCTCAAGGTAGGAAATATTGTATTGACACTTGAGCTTGAGGATTTCAGATTCCGTTTGCCACACTGGGCAAGCCTTTGATGATGCAACATGCGTGCCACCACAATTGCAGCGTTTATAATCTTTTTGACAGTAAGTGCCCTCGTGGGTGTCACCACAACGATGACAGACAACAGAGTTTCGACAAGATCTTGAACCATGTCCAAATTTTTTTACATTTATAACATCGGAGTGGAGAGGGGACATACACCTCCACTCCAATATTACAATATCCTGCTTTAATAGAGTCTGGTAGAGAAGAACGCGCAAACGACATTACATATGTGTTTGTTTTTATCATTGCGCCATCTTTCTTGATGGTAAAACGCTTAACTGCGGTTACCGCCTGTTCTTTTAGCTCCGTAGCGATTTCTTCTTCAGACATGTCAGACAAGCAACCAGCTCTGTCCCGAACAATGCCTCGACAAGAGTTAAGTGTCCTGTGCACAGTAACAACAACCTCAATATTTGCAAATGTTTTGATCGATAGCAAATTGACAGATTGCTGTCTCCGTGCACACTCCACAAGAAGTGAACCACTACGGAGATGGGTGACATTGTTAGCTTGTCCGCAAATACCAGATTCAGCCTTTGAGATTGCAAACGGGTTTAGTTTAATGGGTAGAAAATCTGCAGCCAGGAATCAACTTTTCTAGTTGAGAGATCTAAGTCCTCTTAACGTCTTTTCTTTTCATTGCAAATTGAACCAGCATGTGTAAGCTCCATGATGAAAGGAAATAATTCAGCACCCCTGCTCCCCACCCACCACGGAGTGTCAACAAGGACAGTGTCAAATAGCAACGGCTATCCAAGATGCTGACACCAGGGATACAGGGGTGTTATACTCCAGAGAAAACAACACAAATAGCTGCAATTATCTACCAATTTCATGCCCGACTGGTTTGGCCCAAGACAAGAAATTAGAGACATGCATCATTTGGAGGTCATTATCAGCAGATTGGCCCATGAGCCACCGCCTTCTGGCATAGGACTCTAGGCAAATGTATATACTAATATAATTTTGAAATGCAACATTCAATATCAACATTATATAAATGTACATTATATAAATTTGAATGTTGTCCATGCACAGGGCATGGCGTTCCAGCCAACTGATAGAACCGAGCCAGTTCTACCACCCGTCTAGGTGAAGTCAGGGCCGAAGTGGTGTGTTGGGCAAAGGAACACTTCCTTGAACCAGTGCCCTCAACCACCAGAATCCAGTCCTCCACCGACACAGGGGCGCAACCCACGGCAAACGTGTTGGTGGACCAAATATACCCCCGGGTCAACAGCGGGGGGTTGAACAGCGCTTAGCGTTACCCAGCACCCACCTCGAGGAGGTGGCTCTTCAAGGGTGCCAATTTGACGAAAAAGAATGTTTGGCGAGAGTTTCACCAAGCTTATTGGCAATGTCAGACTTATCAGTTAAAAAATTGTCACCATCCTTCAGATGATGGACTGTAGATGTGGAACCTTTGCCCTTTATTGGTTGAATCATGTCCCAAAACCTTTAAAAGGTGTGCGTGAATTAATTTTGGAAACATACTTCCTCCAAGACTGGCGGTACAATTATTGTCCTCCTGAAAGGGTACGTGAGTCCCGAAACATTCAAAGGAAATTTAGATTTACCAGGTCTTTTAAATGTAGTATTTTTGTCATTTTAATTTTGGCTATTTTTTACTACAATCGCCAGCTGCCGAAGGGTTGATATAGATCCTGCTAGGGACCATGCAGGTAGTAAAAGTACTGTAAATCCCCGCGGTCCCTAGTATGGTGATCAGCCTTCAGGTTGCTGGTGATCTACAGCCCGTTTTTACATTGTACTGTTGTCTATAAGGATATTTATGTGTGAAAGCATACTAGTTTTAAATCAAGAGCTGTGATACTCTAGCAGTTGTACTGTCCTTCGATGACAGTAGTTTCCGTTCTAGATTTATTGATTTGAAATATTGATGTAAATGAAATATTGCCGATGTGACGCTAAATAATAACTCACTCACTCCCAGAGACTAATTCCGTTTGGTGTAAAGGGAAACATAGCTGTGAAAAGTATATGATCATGAATGGATAACTAAACAGCAAATGTTGGCGAAAACAACAAGCATGTCCTGCCCTACCCAAAGCCCGAGCCATTTTAAAAAATTGCCTAAAATTGAAGTATTTAAAGAAAATATATACTTCAACTGAACTTTACAAAATCATGACGACGAAGCATTTTATACTGTATATTTATTGAAGTAATAGTATTTTGAAATCACAACATCTGGATGATAATGAATGTAGTAAGCTCACTACTATGTACACCATGCAAGGCATGTTATGTTTGCACATTATCTGGCCTTGCTATGGTTAAGTCGACTACATGCTGTATTTATCATGGAGAATGGATATATCTACGACGCTCTACTGAATATGAGGTATGTTTAGATGTGTTTGTCTGCAGACCATAAATAGTCAACAGTTTGTATTAAATGTATGCAGGCGGATTCTTTTGTTTGATGACATTCACTGGGATGGGTTCACAATGAACATACATAAATAGGAACGTGATCGTCTTCTCCCAGCATCTGTGTGACACAATGGCCGTGTGGACCAGTGCTGTGTTGTGGATGGCCAGTCTCAGTCTTGCAGCAGGTAAGTACATTTTAACCTTCATCGGAATAGGTTGTTTTAACTTTTACATATTCAATGAGATGACTAACTCACTCACTCACCTATGAAATACTGTTATGGGCATTCTCGTGCTCTCGCAATCTCGTGATCTCGACCTTTGGAAACAAGCTAGAAATGTCAAAAGTGCCAGAATGCGAGATCACGAGAACGCCATATTTGGCCAAAATCTCGCTTTCTCACGATCTCACATTCTCTTGTTTTTGGTACAAAGCAATTTTCTGTCAAAAGTTGACAACACGAGAATGCGATATTTGTACAAGCTGTCAAATATCGCAATCTCGTAATCTCGACTTGTCAAATAAGGCCACAAAATCACGAAATCGCGACAACGCGAGAATGCGACATTACATTTTCTCGCGTTCTCGCGTTTGCGACGCTGTCATTGCGCATGCATAATATCACAAGGTCAAGGCGCATGCGCATGTTAGTAGTGCTGTGGTCATGCTCTTTTATGCTCCTCTTTGTCAAGTAGCATTAAGAAAAATGATGACTTAGCTTGAAAATGCTACTTAAAGTTTAGGGTAGTGTGTACAAGTCCGCTCCTGTTATTACAATTTCCAATGTTAATCCTCAACATGGATAAATAATAATTTAACAAACGAAATTATGAACATGAATGTCCAAGAATAGTGAAAACAGGAAAGTGGAAAAAATATATTAACCACAATGAGTGATAAAATATTGCTTAAAGCCGCATCAGCAGTATTGCCGCATATTGCAGTTACACCGTCAGCTATAGAAAAAATCACATACCCATGAGTTTCTCTATGGTGTGGAGTAAAACATCAGACACGCTCATTTTAGCCGACTGCTACAAATTGGCCTGTTAGAATCTTGCTAGCCTAGACTAACGCTTAGTCTCTGAATATATATTTTTTATTGTAACAAATAAACACATTTAAATTGAATAGGAGCCCAAGGAGACCAGACCTGAATCTGAGGAAATCTAGACTTGCTTCATTTAGGATTTTAGCATTGCAGTGAGGGCTAGGCAGTAGGGAAAATAATGTGGTTCAGGGACAGTGAGACAGATTAATGCGAGCCGTATATGATATTACATCATGGACAAACTCACTGGTCTGTGATTATTTCTATAACTGACGGTGTTGCTGCGAAAAGCTGCGAATGGATTCGATTTTAAGCAATATTTCATCACTCAGTGACGTTAATATTTTTTCTAGCTTCCAGACACTTATATGTTTTCACTTTTATTGGACATTCATATTCACAATTTCGCTAGTTAAATCATATTGGTCATGTTGAGGATCTTTAAGTACATAGGAAATTATAACAACGGGAGCGGACTTATATACACTACCCTACACTTCGTGTATCTAAATTACATAGCATTTTCAAGTTCTGTCATAATTCTGGTAAATGCTACCTGGGCAATGTAAAGCATGAAAGAAGCATAGCCACAGCACTACTAACATGCGACAGCATCTCAAACGCGAGATCGTGAGAACGCGAGAAAATGTAACGTCGCCTTCTCGCGATTTCGTGTTTTTGTGGCCTTATTGACAAGTCGAGATTGCGAGATTTGACAGCATGTAACAATATCGCATTTTCGCGTTGTTGACTTTTTGACAAAAATTGCTATGTACCAAAAACACGAGAGGGAGAGAGCGCGAGATTTTGGCCAAACATCGCATTCTCACACTTTTGACATTTCTAGCTTGTTTCCAGAGGTCGAGATCGCGAGAATGCGAGATCGTGATTATGTCCCTTGCCATATTCCATAAATACCAGATACCACTCCTGTTGTGGACCTGATACCTGGCATTCATATTGTTGCATACACATTCACAATGAATTAGTACCTGTTTGGAGATTTAATCTGATGTATTCGTATAAACTGTCCTCACGATGTCATTTAACAATGATGAGACAATAACAACAATTTATATCCTTCTTTGAGAAACTATGATTAAGTCATGTTGACACACTACCCTGCCCAAAGTTTGACTCGTAAATCAAGGAATGAAATGTGACTAATGTATATTATGTTGCCATAATCGTGGAAATGAAGTACTGAAAGGTGCTATGTCGTCCAGCTGCGCTTACATGCTATATGGGAGTTTATCCATATTGTCAGTGTTGTGGTATCACTAACACAGTTGACTCAAGGGACAACTGTAGGCGAGATACACATAAGGTAAGCAGCTATCGTCCATAGTTAAACTCAAAATTGATCATTCTATGTACACACGTCGATGTATGGAGACACTGACTCGCCGCGCCTCGCTACAAACCTTATGGATAAAAACTTCTTCATTTATTTTTCACCATGTTTCTCAGATAGTTCTTGTCCCTTTCTATTAATGAGTATCGTAAAAACCGTAATATTTCAGCCATATCGTGTCAAGAGCAGTTTATAATTACATTAAAGATCAATAAAGTGAGAAATTCAAAACCTGTTGACGAAGAACAGTAAAACTACTAGTGTATCACAGATATCCATTTAAAACAAGTAATTAAATCTAAAATTTTGGAACTATAAATGACAATACTATATAAGAACAGGCTATATATTGCCAACAGTTGAAGGTAGATCGCCATACTAGGGACCATGCGGACTTAAAGTACATTTGCTTCCGGAAGTGAAAAAGTTTCTGTCACTCCTGGATTCTCATGGCTTGATACAACACGTGGGAACGCCTACTCACAAATCAGGACATATTCTTGACTGGGTGTTGTATCGTGAGAACTTGAATATTGTAGAAATGTAATGGTCGAAGATAGACAAATGTCGGATCAACATGGTCATTCTCATAGATCTGAACCAGCAGAAGGCAAAACAGGAGAAGATAGCCTTGCTGTGCAGAAATTTGAAAAAACATTGACTAAGCTGCTCTGCGGTCTGACCTTGAAACCTCAGACCTGTTGTGTAATCCGGCATCTGATGTTGAGAAGCTTGTTGAACTCTATGATGAAACGATGGAATCCCTTCTGGATAAACATGCTCCACTTATGGAAAAGAAGAGTAATCTGTCAGGTTAAACGTGAGCACTACCTCAAGACCCTACAGACTACTAAACCTGATCCAAAGAAAATGCATTCATTCATGAACTCACACCTTGGCAAAGACTCTAAACAATGAATTTACACAGTCTCAAGACTCTAAAGTCCGGGCTGAATCATTTAACTCCTTCTTTGTCTCCGAAATTGACAAGATCAGAGATGACTTGACCAATGAATCTGCGGCTGCTCTTACCCAAATTGAATTTTCCAGATTCACTGGTGAGCAAATGGTGAAGTTTCAACCATTTACCGTGGACGGAGTTTCTGACCTTATGGTTGCATCTAAGGCAACCACCTGCGTCCTAGACCCTATGCCCACTATGCTCTCGTTGAAGGTGAGTAATCTGCTCCTTCCTGTCATCACGGATATCGTCAACGAAAGCCTGGAGTCAGGACCATTCCCTCAAAGCTTCAAACAAGCAGTAGTTAAACCTCTCCTAAAGAAACCGGATCTGGATCCCAGCCAGTCTAAGAACTTTAGGCCAGTTTCTAATTTGACGTTCCTGTCCAAAGTTCTTGAAAGATCAGTGAACATGAGACTTAAGGTGCATCTGTCTATCAGCTCCATCCTTGATAAGTTCCAGAGTGCCTCCCGTCAGAATTATAGCACTGAAACAGCTCTGTTGCCTGTCCTGAATTACCTCATGTCTGCTGTAGGTGAAGGGACTATGTCGGCACTTATCATGATGGATTTGTCATCAGCCTTTAACACTATTGACCACGACATCCTTTTGAATCGTCTGTCAGTTGAAGTTGGTGTAGGTGGTAATTGTTTGGATTGGTTCGCCTCCTACCTGAAAGATCGCCAACAGTCTGTGATGATAAACAATGAACAATCCAACTCTACGACCATGCAGTGTGGAGTGCCACAGTGGGCTGTGCTCGGCCCTGTCCTCTTTACGCTGTATGTGACTGTCTTGCCAACATCATTCATCATTTCAATCTTCTTCATCATGGCTATGCTGTCGACACGCAGATGATGGACAAGTTCCAGTTAAGCAAACTAAAGGAAGCATTTCAATGAGTCACTCAATGTACCTCATCAATAAAGTTCTGGATGTCAGCCAGCATGCTCAAACTGAATGAGGATAAGACCGAGGTGATGCTGATTGGCACGAGCAAACAATTGGCCAAAGTAGAAGAGACATCCATACTGATAGCAGGATCACATTGCCAATCTCTCACCACGTCAAAGACCTTGTGCATATATCACCAATCCTTAGAGAGCTTTACTGGCTGCCCATCAGAGCCAGACTGCAGTTCAAGGTTTCCTACATTACATTCAGATGCTTCAACAGCACCAGCCCTGACTACCTTAGTGACTTACTTACTCCATATGTACCAGCTCGAAAACTTCGCTCCAGTGACAGCAACTCACTCACAGTTCCTTCCTACAGACTAAATTCCTTTGGCTACAGGATGTTCTTTCACACCGCCCCAATGCTCTTGGAATACTCTTCCATCTCACATCAAACTTTGTCCCACGTTCGAACTGTCCAAATCTAGACTCAAAACACACCTGTTCTCTCAATGCATCTGACTTTTCTACTTACCTTCCTATCAAATTCAAATCTCTACACCAAACTCTTAACATTATTAAGTAGCGCCTTTAGCAGGCTTAGATTAGTGAGGATTTATAGTCACTACAGTGAGCGACTTTTGTTCTGTTATTCAATGCGAGAGTTTCATATACTGGCATTTATGCCCCTTGACTGCAAGTAAAGCTTCGTACAGGACACAACTAACGGGTCGGGCTCATGCTGTTCATCATCGATTATTTCAGACTGCCGTTTAATACTCTATGCAAAAAGTGATGCATGTCCATGGAACGTATCCTGTTTCCTGCCCTTGTAGAAATTGCGACGCCGCATTTGTTTGTTTGTTTGTTGTTTAAATATCTTTTTCGAGCCAGGCTTTGGCTTTCTCTTCCGAGACTCGAG